AGTCACCAGCCAATCCCTCTCCAATACCAGAAATACAGCTTAAATAGTGTAACATTAGAAAACGTTTACCATTTCCGCTACCTTGGCAGCCACCTCGCCACAAAAGTCAACATTGACACTGAAATACAACACTGCCTGAGCTCTGCAAGTGCAGCATTTTTCCAAATGAAGCAGAGAGTGTTTGAGGACAGGAACATCTGTAGAGATACCAAGGTGCTTGTTTATAAAGCTATTGTCCTCCTAAGCCTGCTATATGCCTGTGAGACATGGACTATCTACAAATGTCACATGCAACTCCCAGAACGATTCTATCAGTGTTGCCTCCAAAAAATCCTGCAAATCTCTTGGGAAGACAGGCAGACAAATGTCAGCGTGCTGGAAGAAGCAAAGACCAGCAGGATTAAAGCGATGGTCCTCCACCATCAACTCCGCTGGACCGTCCACATTGTCCACCGTCTCCCAAGCAGTTGCTCTACTCCGAACTCAAGAATGGAAAATGGAAAGTTGGTGGGCAGGAAAAGAGATTTAAAGATGGGCTCAAAGCCAACCTTAAAAACTCTGGCACCGTAAAAACCTTAAAAACTCTAGACACTGAGAACTGGGAAGCCCTGGCCCTTGAGCGCTCCAGCTGGAGGTCAGCTGTGACCAGCAGTGCTGTAGAATTTGAAGAGGCATGAATGGAGAGCGAAAGAGAGAAACGTGCCAAGAGGAAGGCGCGTCAAGCCAACCCCGACCGGGACCGCCTTCCACCTGAAAACCAATGCCCTCATTGCGGGAGAACTTGCAGATGTAGAATAGGGCTCCATAGTCACCTACAGACCCACCGCCAGTACACCGATCTTGGAAGACAATCCTACTCGGACAACAAGGGATCGCCTAAGTAAGTAAGTAAGTAATTTGTTCCAAAGGAGATTCATGTTTACAAGGTTTACAGTTTGTGATTGGGATACAATATGGCAGGAAACATAATAAACCTTTTTATTGGAGGGATTCTGGAGCTGGTTTTCTGTATCTGCGCTGCTCGTTTCTGCCTGCAGGAGCTCATCTGTCTGGAATGGGATTACTTTGGGAAATAAGTCTGTTGATTAGTATCGACCGGGAGAAAGGGGTGGTATGAGATGGTTTCCTTGAATGAACAACGCAAGGTTATTCCAGATGATGGGTTTGGTGAAGACTCCGTTGCATTGGGTGTGGGGTGATCTCAGTGTCCAGAGCTTTGGCTGCACCAGTCTCTGATTTCATCAGGTGGTGGTCTGGTTGCCCCTGACACAATAAATAAATAAAATCAGGTGGTGGGAGCCCGCCCACCCTGTTTCACCCCGAGTGTTGCCTGGAATCCCAGACGTCCATTCCTGGCATGGGTTCCAATCAAGCCATGCAGAGATGAGAGCAGAGTCAGAGATCACTGTATTGCTTCAGTGGCCAAAGAAGCATGTCAGGAGAGAATCCCAGATCTGATATGCCACCAGTTTTCTGATATCAATAATTTATAGACGATGTTCTGTCTGATACAAATTACAGTCGGTTGCCTTATTGTCTTGATGTAATTCATTGTTGTCGTGTTTTACAGCTTGTGATTGGTAGAGTGTGTATAGCAGGAACTAAGTTTTTATTGAGAAAATCCTGTCTGTTTCTGTGTTTGCGTCTGTTCCCTCCCTACTTACAGGCGCGTCCTGGGCACTACTTCGGGCACAATGGTGGCATTGATTACTATCAGGGTGGAATGGCCCTTAGGTGATGGGATTTCCTAATTCCATTGACGAAACAATGGGGAGCATAGCAGCAGTGATGTGCTTTAGGGTTACTTTGGGAGAAATTCATTGTGTCCCTGGATGGTCTGCTACCAGCTGATTGAATATCGGCAATTCCATCTTATTACACTATGTAACTAAATTTGAATTTTTGATGTTTTATCATCCTTGTGGGAGGCTTTTCTCATGTTTTATGATAAAACCAATTAGAAAATGACACAGATTCAAACTTCCAACCTGTCTTGAGTCCTGTCGGCACAAGGGTTTAACCCATTGTGCCACTGGGGGTCATCTCCATTTTCCTGGTTTGAAAGTGTTATTTCCTGTTTAGTTGTGCAGGACTTACTTTGTAAGTAGTTGTTATACTCCAGAAACTTTGTTTTTGTGGCTGTCGCAAACTAGATTGAATTGGTTGAAACTCTATGAGATAAAGGTAAAGGTTTCCCCTGACATTGAATGTAGTTGTGTCGGACTCTGGGGTGGTGGTGCTCAGCTCAGTTTCTAAGCTGAAGAGCTGCTGTTGTCCATAGACTCCTTCAAGGTCATGTGGCCAGCATGACTGCATGGAGCATCGTTACCTTCCCACCAGAGTGGTACCTATTGATCTATTCACATTTGTATGTTTTTGAACTGCTAGGTTGGCAGAAGCTGGGCCTAACAGCGGGAGCTCACCCCTCTCCCCATTTATTTTGCCTTTAGTCGGCTCCTCTTCCTTTTTCCTTCCATTTTTCCCAGCATCATTGTCTTCTCTAAGCTTTCCTGTCTTCTCATGATGTGGCCAAAGTACTTCAACTTTGCCTCTAATATCCTTCCCTCCAATGAGCAGTCGGGCTTTATTTCCTGAAGTATGGACTGGTTGGATCGTCTTGTGGTCCAAGGAACAAAGAATTTTCCTCCAACCAATTTTACACAGAGCTGCTTTACAAGTATTACAGCCTGAGGGAAAGTTAAAAAAGTGAAGTTGGCGGAAATCATCAACCATTTTGATAACAGATCTACCTCAGTTAACAAAGTTTGTGAGAAATAAAATTTTTAGTTTTTAAATGATTATCTGCTGCAACTTTTTTAATGATTTGTGTTTGTTCATGTTTTACTAATGCTGTAACCTGCCTCGAGCCACAAAGAGAGGTAGGCAAGAAATAAAACTATCATTATGATTGTATCCCAGGATCTGATCCCAGATTACCTGGCAGTGAAGACTCATATAATTTAGTTTAAAGCAGATAATCCGGAATCAGATCCCGGGATACAGGAAAGTGTAAGAAGGGGATTTTGAACATTTGTGGGGTTTTTCTTCCTTGAAAGAAGTTGAGATAATCAGGACATGCCAGCTTTTGTTTAGGCTGAATGGTACTTGGGAAGAGCCCTTCCACACAGTCATTTAACCCAAAATATCAAGGGGCCCTTCCACACAGTCCTGTGTCCCAGAACATCAAGGCAGAAAATCTCACAATATCTGCTTTGAACTGGGTTGTCAGAGTCCACACTCAGATAATGTGGGATTTTCTGCCTTGATGTTCTAGGGCTGTGTTGAAGAGCCCTGAGGGTCCTTCCAGACAGGCCTTATACCTCATGATCCGATCCCAGGTTTTCTGTTTAGCCCAGATTATCTGGCAGTGTAGACTTATATAATCCAGTTTAAAGCAGAAAACCTGGGATCAGATCATTGGATATAGGGCCTGTCTGGAAGGGCCCTGGACTATATGGCAGTGTATACTCAGTTCAAAGAAAATATTGTGAGATTTTCTGCCTCGATATTCTGGGATATAGGACTGTGTGGAAGGGCCCCCTGACAGAATAACCCACGATATATTGTCGAAGGCTTTCATGGCCGGAATCACTGGGTTGTTGTAGGTTTTTTCGGGGTGTATGGCCATGTTCTAGAGGCATTCTCTCCTGATGTGAGACCTCACTATCTCTGAGGATGCTTGCCATAGATGCAGGCTTAACGTCAGGAGAGAATGCCTCTAGATCTAGAACATGGCCATATAGCCCGAAAAATCTACAACAACCCAGTAACCCACAATATTTGCTCTGAAATTAGTTATCTGAGTCCACACTACCATAAGTCCCAGTACAAAGCAGATGTTGGATTTTCCGCCTTGATATTCTGGGATATACGGCTGTGTGGAAGGGCCCTGAGGGTCCTTCTAGAGAAGGCCCTAAGCCCCATGATCCGATCCCAGGTTTTCTGTTTTTCCCAGATTATCTGGCAGTGCAGACTCATATAATCCAGTTTAAAGCAGAAAACCTGGGATCAGATCACGAGATATAGGGCCTGTTTGGATGGGCCCTGGAATATATGGCAGTGAGGACTCAGATAACCCAGTTTTAAGCAAATATTGTGATATTTTCTGTCTTGATATTCTGGATTATAGGGCTGTGTGGAAGGGCCCCAAGACAGAATAACCCACAGTATCTGCTCTGAAATGAGTTATCTGAGTCCACACTGCCATATGTCCCAGTACAAAGCAGATAATGTGGGATTTGATTCAGCTGTGTGGAAGGGGCAGGAGAAAAAAAACAAAACCGCGGCACTTCGCGTGAGTCCGAAAAGTTTGAAAACTTACAAAACTCCCTCGCATTTTTCTCGGGCTGGCTAAGACATTGCCTGATTTCCTCAAAGGTGCCTTCCAGCTTCGGAGGCAGAGAAGGGAATGCCCTATTTCCCTTCTTACAAAACGACCTTCTTTGGTCCCTACCCATAGCCATATATCCCAGAATATCAAGGCAGATAACCCACAATATCTGCTTTGAATTGGAATATATGGCAGTGTGGACTAATAACCTAGTTCAAAGCAGGTATCGTGGGATTTTCTGGGTTATATTTAAACAGAGGCTGGATGGCCATCTGTCAGGGGTGATTTGAATGCAATATTCCTGCTTCTTGGCAGGGGGTTGGACTGGATGGCCCAGGAGGTCTCGTCCAACTCTTTGATTCTATGATTCTATATGGCTGTCTGGAAGGGACCTGTGTTATCCATATAAACCAGTTCAAGGTGGATTTTATACAGCTCTGTGGATGGTTACTGGCCTTTGGTCCGAAAGCAAATAGAGAGAATTCCCGGCAGTGCTGTAAACACCTTCCACGGACGTTCCTTTCGCGCAGCTGGAGACGCAGGGCGAGGAGGGAAGCAAAACGGACCAATCAGCGAGCGCCCTGTAGGCTAACGGCGCGGCGATTGGCTGCCGTTGGGTCCTTTGCGGTGGAGGTCGCGAGGCGGAGCGCGAGGGGAGACTTCTCGTGCGCAGGCGCGGCCCGTCCTCTTCCTTGGCTCGCTTGGGGCCCGCCGTGGCTGACGCGTCACATTCCTCCTCGCCGCGTCAGGGCTCCGAGCGAGGAGAGGGGAGGGGAGGAGAGGAGCGGGCGGAGGGCCAGCCTCTGGCCCGGGTCTCTCTCTTGCGGCCCCCGCCGGGAGGATGCGCCGCCGCCCCCCCCAGGCTCGAAGAGGCGGACGCCGGAGACGATGAGGGAGCTGCCCCGTCGGCTCCTCTTCCTGGCTTCCTGCTTCCTTCTCGGCAGCTTACTCAGGTGAGGAGAGGAGGAGGAGGAGGAGAGCCCACTTTGGGCCGGCCTCAGCTCCGGGGCCTAGGTACATACTCGCCCAGCTTTGTGTTTCCCCCAAAGCTGATTTTGTTCAGGGCCTGTAGCACAGGCATGGGCAAACTTAGGCCCTCCAGGTCTTTTGGACTTCCACAGTTCCTTACAGCTGGAATTTCTGGGAGTTGAAGTCCAAAACTCCTGGAGGACCGAAGTCAGGGTGAACCAAGAAGAGCAGGCTCCAAAACCTTTCCCAATATCCTGTCTATAATACCTCATCACATTGGGAAAGGAAAGCATGGGTGACTGTTCCTTTAATTTATTAATTTTATTTATTCCCAGCATTTCTACCCCGTCCTTCTCAACCCCCGAAGGGGGACTCAGAACGGCTTACTTTTAATAATAATAATAATACACTTTATTTACCATCTCCCCAAAGGGGACTCGGTGTGGCTAACATGTGGCCAAGCCCAAAATAATACAACATAATAAACACACAATAACAAAATACATCATAACAAAATATAAAATAACAACATCAACAATATAGAACAGCATATTAAAACCAGACACGGAGGGCGGGCCAAATGTATGAGGTAAAAGGTTAAAAAGTTAAAACCCAGGGTGAGATAGGGATCAAAGTGCATTTGTATGAAAGGAACCCAACAGGGAGGAACCATGGGATTTAGCCATTCTAGGGGTGGGGGGAGAGATGCTTCATTCTGGGGGCATCTGTAGACTAAGACAACCAGATGGGCTGAATGGTCATTCTCTAAAAGCATAATGGAAGAGCCAGGTTTTTAGGTCTTTCTTAAAACCAGCTAGGGTGGGGGCTTGCCTGATCTCCCTAGGCCGCGAACTCCAAAAGTGGGGGGTCACAGCGGAAAAGCCCCTCTCCCTTGTTCCCATAAAACGAGTCTGTGATAGAGGAAGGGGCGAGAGAAGGGCCTCTTCAGCAGATTGAAGAGATAGTGCAGGATTGTGGTAGGCACAATTTGATGCCATTAAATATAACAAAGCTATATAACAACAATTAAAACAGTAAATAGAACATTAATTAAAACAGTAAAAACAGTACTAACTGCCGTATCACCATTCCAGTCAAATTCCATATCCAAAGCACTATTTATGCCTGGTCGCAGAACCACGACTTCAGTTTCCTCCTAAAAGACGGGAGGGATGAAGCCGATCTTACCTTGTTGGGAAGCAAGTTCCATAGGTGGGGGGCTACAGCCGAGAAGGCCCTGTCTCTTGTCCCTGCCAGACGTAGTTGCGATTCTGGCGGGAGCGACAGCAGGGTCTCCCCGGATGATCTTAAACTGCAAGGTGGGATGTAGAGGGAGATGCGTTCTGACAAGTAAGCTGGGCCAGAACCGTATAGAACTTTATAGGTCAAAACCAGCACTTTGAATTGAGTTTGGAAGTGGATTGGCAGTCAATGGAGCTGACACAACAAGTGGGTGGTGTGCTCTCTGTATGTCGCTTCAGTTAGTAATCTGGCTGCAGCCTGTTGGACTAATTGAAGTATCTAAACAGCCTTCAAAGGTAGCCCCACGTAGAGTGCGTTGCAGTAATCTATTCGGGATGTAACAAGAGCATGGACCACTGTTGCCAGATCAGACTTCCCAAGGTATGGGCGCAGCTGGGGCACAAGCTTTAATTGTGCAAAAGCTCCCCTGGCCACCACAGAAACCTGGGGTTCCAGGCTCAGCGATGAATCCAGGATCACACCCAAGCTGCGAACCTGTGTCTTCAGTGGGAATGTTACCCCATCCAATACAGGCTGTAACCATATGCTCTGTTCGGCCTTCCGACTGACCAGGAGGACCTCTGTCTTGTCTGGATTCAATTTCAATTTGTTAGCCCTCATCCATTCCGACACAGTGAGAGAATTAAGTGAGAGAATCGCTCCCTTTCCAGTTCTGCTTCCCTGTCAGACTCACATGTGGAAACCTAGGAGCTGGCAATATATTCATCTTACATTAATCACATTCCTTTTTTAAATCAGGAGAAAGAGAAATATCTGAAAATCAAGGGATCCCTTGCCCTGCCCAAAGCCCCTTACATTAAAGGAGACTGGCACCAGTTTAAAACCACTTCTTTCCATGGGATCCTATTGTTCTGCCCCAAATCCCATAGGATACAAGAGGCAGTGATTCAGGTTAGAACCAGTGCTTTCCATGGGATTCTATGGTCCTGCATAAAAAATTGCTTGCTATGCGATCCAATGGTTCTGCATCAAAGCCCATAGAATACAAGAAGCAGTGATCCAGGTTAGAACCGTTTCTTTTATTGGGATCCTATGGTTCTGCATCAAAGCCCATAAGATACAAGAGGCAGTGTCCAGGTTAGAACCATTTCTTTTAATGGGATCCTATAGTTCTGCATCAAAGCTCATAGGATACAAGAGACTGCTAACAGTTGGGCAGTGAAACAAGATGGGAAATTTTGATACCTCCCATCTATTTTTCAGTTGTAAGAATTATAGACTCATAGCAGCCCCCGGTGTCACAGTGGGTTAAACTCTTGTGCCGGCAGGACTGCTGACTGAAATGTTAGCTGTTTGAACCCTGAGAGTGGAGTGAGCACCTGTCTGTCAGCTCCAGCTTCTCATGTAGGGACATGACTGAAGCCTCCCATGGGATGGTAAAACATCCGGGCATCTCCTGAGCAACATCCTTGCAGACAGTCAGTTCTCTCACACCAGAAGTGACTTTCAGTTTCTCAAGTCACTCCTGACACACACATACACACATAAAAATAGAGTTGGAAGAGACCTCGTGGGCCATCCAGTCCAACTCCCTGCCAAGAAGCAGAAAAATTGTATTCAAGGGACCCCTGACAGATGGCCATCCAGGCTCTGCTTAAAAGCTTCCAAAGAAGGAGCCTCCACCACACTCCGGGGCAGAGAGTTACACTGCTGAACAGTTCTCACAGTCAGGAAGTTCTTCCTCATGTACAGGTGGAATCTCCTTTCCTGTTCTGTGTTCCAAGCCATTATTACGTGTTCTAGTCTCCAGGGCAACAGAAAACAAGCTTGCTCCCTCCTTCCTATGACTTCCCCTCACATATTCATACATGGCCATCACGTCTCCTCTCAACCTCCTCTTCTGCAGACTAAACATGCCCAGCTTGTTCTCCAGACCCTTGGAGTTATTTATTTATTGTGTCAGAAGCTAATTGAGAATACAATTATAATGTATAAGAAACCACAAAGTTAAAAACTTGGCATTATACTAAATTTCCTTTGACCAGAAGCTGGCTACTTTGAATTCCTCTGGTGTCCTGTAAGAAGATCCTCCATTGTGCATGTAGTGGGGAAGATGGGAGTAAAGTGTGATAAAGAGGTAGGAGGTCTGAACATAATTGCTGACCTGTGTTCAGAGTTCCCTCCTTTCAGGACATTTCTTTTCGACTTGGAGCATGTGATGGTCTTCATGCCTCTCCATGCTTGAAAGGAGGTCAAAGTGTCCCACCAGGGGAAAATTTCTCAATGTGATGAGGTTGATTGCTGGAGTTCCCTCCTTTCAGGACACTTCTCTCTGTTTTCTACCATGGAGGGCTATGCATGACAGCCAGTAGTTTAACTCATGTGATGAGCTCAGTGCCTCTCCATGCTAAAAAAGAGGTTGAAGTTTCCTAAGACTGGGAAATTTCTCAATATGATGAGGTGGTTAAACACAAGTCATTGGCGTCTTACCGTAAGTCCAGTCCTTCCCATAAGCCAAAAGGGAGCAAAAGAAAAGGGCCGATCTCTGTACAGGTTGAGGCACCTTTTCCCAAAAATCTGAATAACTCCAAAAGCCATTTTTTTCCTGCCCTTCACCTCTGCCGTTGAGAAAACAGGGCAGCACATCCAGCTCCCCTCCACTGAGTTTTTCTGAAGGTGCTGTCACTGCACCACAGTTTGAAATTTGAAAGGGGAAGTTGAGAGGATAGCTATGTTTCAATGTTTGAAAGGATGTCACATTTAGGGATGTCACAATTTTCCCCTGGTAGGACACTTTGGTCTCTTTTCAAGATGTCACATTTGGGGGGGGGGGGGGGGGGGCTTGTTTTCTACTCCTCATAGGACATGTTTTCAAGACTGTTTACCATTTTGGTTGCCTTTTCCTGGACACATATTAGCTTGTCAATATCCGTTGTGAATCGCAGTGCCCAGAATTCAACACACTATTTACAGGAGAGGTCTGTCCAAACCATAATAGAAGGGCACAGTTTCTTCCCTCAGTCTAAACCAGGCATAAGCAAACTCCAGACCTCCAGGTGTTTTGGACTTTGATTCCCAGAAATCCCAGCCAGCTTACTAGCTGTTAGGAATCATGGGAGTTGAAGTTCAAAACACCTGGAGGGCCGAAGTTTGCCCATGTCTGATCTAAATACCATACAGGCAGTCTCCAAATTACAAAGAAAATAGATGGCTGGAGTTACACTTAAAAATGTACCTGTTCCGACTTACATACAAATTCTGACACACATACACACACGCGCACAGTATATATATCTCTCTCTCTTACATATGCAATATATATATATATATATATATATATATATATATATATATATAATCTATCTTACATATGTATGCATGCTTTGGATAGCATAGGGAAGGGTTGACACCCCGTGTTGTTTGTTTTGCTCTCTGCGCCCCTGTTCAGAAGATTCCACCTCAATTTCTGTCTCTATGTAGCATGATTTTTGTTCCTGGGTTATCAGTGTCATTTCCTAATTGCTACTATCATAAAAGCATGGAAAATCTTTGTTTTTGTGGGACATCCTGCAGCACATTTTGCTATACCTTTTCAATGAATATCTCATCAGTTCTCAACCAATTCAACATAGTTTGTGGCAGCCTCAAAAAACTAAGTTTCTGGTCTATAACAACTGCTTTCAATATAAGTACCACACGGTTAAACAGGAAATAACACTTTCAAACCAGAAACAGCACTTTTTTCAAATTTTGTTACATTGTGTTATTGGTCATGTTGCTGAGTTTCCAGAAATTCCAACAGGAAAGAGGAAAGTCCAAATGTATCCAGCTGCGGCAGGCTCCAGAAATGTTTCAAATGTTTAGCCCTCTGGCCAATCCATGTCTGTTTTTTCTTTTGTCTGGCCCAGAGGTTCCCAAACTTTTTTGTTCCATTTTCTAATATATATCTAAAATAAATTACTCAATGCCCCACTGGAAGTCGACTTTCTTTAAGTGAACAAACAGAAAAATGCCATGACAAGTTTGCATTCCTGTATTTCTGCCTATATCCTACAACATGATTGTTGTGAATAAGACATCTTAAAGCTTGAAATTATAGAACTTATTTCTTAAAATCAAGCATAACAATGTTTGCATTACACACAAAACATTAAGATAATAAAGGATATCATCATCATCATCATTATTTAATGTTAAAAAATAATCTCTAATGAAAAGGATGAACCTGGTGCACTGCTATCAATGTATTAATGTTCAGCTCTATTTTTGTCAGCAACACGACTTAATTTTTTTAAAATATGTAATGCATTTGTCATATTGTTAGCTGCTTGTCAAACAATTCAAAAGCAATCTAAATTAGATTTCATACATGATGCACATTTATAGTATTGTATTGTGAACAAGTCATTACATGCACATATTTCTGCTGATGCATGTTGGACTTGCTGAAAATGTATGGCAGACTTGCCTGCCAACACTTGCTTGTTAAGGCTTGTCAGTACACTTGGCCACTCATTGGTTATATCTTGCATTTTGTGTATTCATTTGAAAAATAAAGCAATCACTGTGACTTTAGTGCTATGTTACACAACAGATGAAAGATGTATGAGCGGTTTTTCAAAATTTTCTTCTTTCTTTACATTTCTATTTCCCTTCTATTTTTGATCAACACACCCCAGGCTACTACCTCCCCTGGATCATTCTAGCTTGATTGTGGCATGGATCAGGCAGCCAAAGCTTTGCTGAGCCCATAGAAGCTCAGCAAAGCTTTGGCATTTGGACTTCCCCCTCCTCTGACAGGTGCCTTTTACAGGAGATTTGTGGTAGTCCTCCTTTACCCTTTTCCCTGTCAAATTTCAGATTGTGATTGAGCAGCAACCCCTTGAGATAAACTCAGTGGGAGCCGAATGTTTAACTAGCCGCTTCTCCCACCATCCTTCAATGTAGTGTGTATTTGTAAATACGGGTTCATTTTGAGCATCCCTTATCCAGAATTCCAAAATACTCTACAGTCTGAAATTATGCACACAGGTGTTTGAAATTGTGACACTTTCCTGTCTGTTAGTTTATTGTACAAAACTTTGTTTCATGCACAAAATACTACCGTATATATCTGACATTGGCTGGATATTGGATGTCTGCTCCCCCCCGCGCTTTCCTTATTTCTCTTTCCCTCATGCCTTTCCCATCCCTTCCTTCCTTTTTCTTTCTTCCCCCTTTCCTTTGTGCCTCTCTTTACCTCATACACATCACCTTTCTTTCCCAGTGATATAACAGAGGGCTAATTCCCCTAGCAATAACCAATCTAGTGACATCACAGAGGGCTACAAAACAACAATTACCTTATTATGGACATCTGTTTTAGGCCCCCCATCAGACTGAAGGTTTGAATTATGTAAAACAAAATTATAAAATATTCAAAGTGGTAAGAATAGTAATAGGAGACTTCAAACACCTGATATCTGCTACAAATTGCTCTCTACCAAGAGTGTAGAGTCCAACAAATTCCTCAGTTTTGTGACTAATGTATATACATGGTGATGCCAGGTGTTGGAGAGATTCTGACCTCACTTTCATCACTTTTTCTTTCTTCCCCTCATCGCTTTCCTTCCTTCTTTCCTTTCTTTCTTTCTTTCTTTCTTTCTTTCATTCATTTCTTTCCTCCCTCCCTCCCTTCTCATTTTACATCTCCAGTTCTGAGAGGGCCTACTTCACAATGTCTACATAGCAACGTGGTTCTCTTTGTGGCTCTTTCATTCCTTCCCTTTATACACATGTCACCTTTCTTTCCCAGTGACATCACAGAAAGCCACTTCACCTTGCAACAGCTTTGAGATGGATGCTTGCATACATAGGCTTAAATAGAGATATAAAAAGACAATAAGGAGGAGGCAACAATGGAATCGGCTATCTTGGATTTGATGCTAATCAACAGGGATGAATTGCTCAATGTGGTGAAACTGATGGGATCCTTGGACCACATAGGGTTTTTATTGTCCCTTTTCCCTCTTTGGGCCGGGGCCTGCAAAGTGCCGTCCCCTTCTTTTCATGCACACTCTCATTCTTTTATTTCATGTATAGTCCTTTCCCTGTCTGGACCTGCATTAGTGTATAGACCAGTGGTTCTCAACCTGGGGTCCCCAGATGTTTTTGGCCTTCAACTCCCAGAAATCCTAACAGCTGGTAAACTGGCTGGGATTTCTGGGAGTTGTAGGCCAAAAACATCTGGGGACCCCAGGTTGAGGACCACTGGTATAGACAGTTAAGGTTCAGCAATGCAATTTACTCCCACCACTGGATTGGATGCCTCGGGTAAACGGATCCTCTCCTTTTTAGCTCTTCCTCTATGTATTTTTTAAAAATGAGTTTTCTTGGCTACATGTCCATAGTTTTTATAGTCAATATATCTACTGGCCCTAACAAAATCTATAATTTTGGCCTCTAAAGCTGTCCTTGATCTATACAAGAGGTTGACTTATACATAAATATTTTTTTTCATGCATTATGTTTAAATACAAAGCATTTTAAACAGAATTCTGCTTAAGACAACTCTGCTCTTTATATATGTTTCTGTTTTCTTCTGTGTTCCTGAAACTGTGTGAGATACAATTTGGGAATATCTACCCAGAACATAATGCCTCAGTTATAAAGGCTGCATATCGGCTGCTTCTTGGGCAGGCCAGATTCACGTGATACATACATTCAGTGCCGAACAGTGTTCCAGTTGAGTCAGCTCTCTCTCCCCAATTTCTTTTGTCGTTTTACCTCTGATAGACGAAAGAGGGTCTATGTTCTGCCAGCCCTTCTCTTTTGAGTAGGACTAGCTATTCTTTACCCCCTTTGTGCAAGTGGAAGCCTCTGCACGTTTTCATGTTTATATTAAACTTTGGCTAATTACCTCAAACTGTTACATTTACAAATGGCTCTGACCTTTTTTTCATTAATGAGGATTCAGAATAATCCCAGGAAAATATGAGTACAGTCAATCCCCAAGTTATAAACAAGATAGGTGCTGTAGGTTTGTCCCCATCTAAAATCCCCCACCAGGCACACTAGTTTATTCATCCATCTCACCCAGGATTTTTATATTTTACATTTTATTCTACTCTCTGTAACTTGGCCTAGCCTTCTGTGTTCATTTTTGTTTTCTTATTTCATTTTTTATTTTTTATTGTTTTGTTTATATTTCATTTGATGTTATTAATTGCTGTATGTATTTTATTTTGATTTGATGTAATTGTTTGGGCTTGGCCTCAGGTTAGCCGCCCCGAGACCTTGTTGGGGAGATGGTGGCGGGGTATAAATAACAACAACAACAATAATAATAATAATAAAGTTTGTTATTATTATTATTAGTTCTTAAGTTGAATTTTTATGTAAGTAAAAACAGTTAACTTTTTAAAGTGTAACCCCAGCCAAAATTATATATTCTTTAGCTTTGTATAGCATAGGGAAGGGTTTACACCCCTATGGCATTTGTTTCTCTGTCAGTGCCCTTGTTCAGAAGATTTCACTTCACTTTCTGTCCCTGTGAGAATTGGATTTTGAAAAATGTGGCTTGTGGTGGAAACAAGGGTTGGTGATAAAGCTTCAGTGGATACACCTTTTCCCCATGATAACTCTTTCAGGGGTGGATTTCACTTCCTAGAGGTAGATTTCTCACACTTCCTGTTGCCTCATGCTTGTTCATAACTATGAGTCATTTGGCTGTTCATAACTCTGGAACTGCCTGTAGTATGAAGGCGAATTCAAGATTATAAATCAAATTTAGGAAGATATAATGTGAAGCATTGTTATTGTTAGAAAACAGTTTGTTATCTGCAACAGGAAGCAATAATGGAGAGGGAATGCTTTGACAGATTGAACAACGTTTGTTCACTTTTATGCTGTTAAAGTACCGTGTTATTTTGCTTACAGGGTCACTATTTTATAATCTATTTAAGTGCCCCTCCCCCAGTATCAAAGATTCTTCTTTTCCAGCTGTCCTCTTATTTTTTAAAAGTAAAAATATTTCTTTGTCTTTAATCTTGTTTCTTGATAATGTTTAGATAGTAACCAGAACTGATTGCCAGTCGCTTAGCACTTTATATCTACATTCTGTGCACTCAGTTGGACTGCTTTGTTATTTACATGGATCTTTTATCTGATTCTATTTTAATAGAGGTTGTTTTATCCATTTTATATACCTGGTTTATGTAATGGATTATTTTTTTCATGTTGATGTATTTTATTTTATGTATTATGTATTTTATGTATGGCATCTTTGTGTGCTATTTTGTAAGTTGCCCTGAGTTGCAATGGGAGATGGTGGTGGGGTATAAGTAAATATTATTATTATTATTATTATTATTATTATTATTACTACTACTACTACTATTACTCCTGCTATTCTCCTGTGTCCCTTCTCGTGTTCTCCAGTATTTCTAAAAAACTATGACATTTTGAGACAGCAAGTTCTGTAATACACAAGGATGCAGTTTATCTGTCCCAGAATATTTGAAGTAATTTAAGATAGTTTATAAACACTGCATGTCTTAACTACTCACCTTTTGGCTTCTAACATGGAATTGTACAGTAGGAATGGATTAGATAATTAAGACATCTCCTTTCGATGATATGCTGTGTCATAAAATTGAATGAGATGTAAATATATCTTTTAGTCAATTTGTATTAAGTGTGGCTCTTATATTTTTTCCCAGCTGGCATGTCACTTGTAAAGAAGGTCCTTCATCTGCAATTTTGTTTTCACAAAATGAGAACTCTCCCTTGGCAAACATGGATGAGAACATCCAGGAAAAGGTAAGTACATAAAGACCCGTGACTTGGCTTTCTTGTAGAATTGGGGGCAGCTCTATAGTCCTAACCCAGGACATTATGTAAATAAATAATTGACTCAGATTGTTTTCTAAACACTGGTGTATATTCAAGGCTATATTTAAAGTTAAAGGTGCTAAAATTATTATTGAAATATAAACAACAGACAGTAAACTCCCCAATCACTCTTGTTTTTCAGTCTCCCTGAAAATCACAGAAATAAAAAAGCTGTGCAAATGTTTAGGTTAATAAAAATACAAGAGTACTTTATTAATTGTCAATACAGTAGAGTCGCTTATCCAACCTTCTCTTATCCAGCATTCTGTATTATCCAACGCAGTCCAGGGTGGGAGAAAGAAAGAACCCGTGTCTGTTTTGGTGCTGAATTCGTAAATATAGTAATTACTACATAACATTACCATGTATTGAACTGCTTTTTCTGTTGATTTGTTGTAAAACATGATCTTTTGGTGCTTAATCTGTAAAATCATAACGTAATCATAATGTAATTCAACGTTTAATAGGCTTTTCCTTAATCCCTTCTTATTATCCAACATTTTCGCAATGTTCTGCCGGGCCGTTTGTTGGATAAGCAAGACTCTACTGAATTGAGCAAATGTATATATTTTCATTTGTAATTTTAATAGAGGCTATATCTATCTATCTATCTATCTATCTAGTGGTCTCCTGCCACGCGTTACTGTGGCCCAGTCTGGTGATCTGGAAAATAAAGTAATGAGAAAGTGTTGGTTTTTAATATAAGTAATGTCTTTATGCTTGTGGGTAAACAGTATTTCTTGTTGTTTCTTTGTCAGTGTTGATGTGGAGATTGTCTGGTTTGCTACTCTGGAACATGCAACATATCATTGTCCTTCTTTAGGGGTCCCTTTCAAATCTTTGATACTGCATCTGTCATATATATGTGTGTGTGTGAATGGCTGGATGGCCCTTTGTCAGGAGGGCTTTGATTATGTTTTCTTGCCCTGGTGAAGGGAGTTGGACTGGGTGGCCTTAAGTATGTTTTTCTGTTGGTCATGGGGGTTCTGTGTGGGAAGTTTGCCCCAATTCTGTCATTGGTGGGGTTCAGAATGTTCCTTGATTGTAGGTGAACTATAAATCCCAGTAACTACAACTCCCAAATGTCAAGGTCTATTTCCCCAAACTTCATCTGTGTTCATATTTGGGCATATTGAGTGTATTCGTGCCAAGTTTGGTCCAGATCCATCATTGTTTGAGTCCACAGTGCTCTCTAGATGTAGGTGAACTACAACTCCAAAACTCAAGGTCAATGCCCACCAAACCTTTCTAGTGTTTTCTGTTGGTCAGGGGAGTCCTGTGTGCCAAGTTTGGTTCAATTCCATCATTGGTGGTGTTCAGAATGCCCTTTGATTATAGGTGAACTATGAATACCAAGAGCTGCAACTCCCAAATGACAAAATCATAATGTTTTGAGTGATGGTCACTCCTAGTGTTGTGAGACGTTTTGTTGCCAAATTTGGTGTGATTTCGTTCATTGGTTCTTTTGTTTTTAAGGTACTCATTACGCACAGAGCATTTTATCTCTCTCTCTCTCTCTCACACACACACACAATGTTCACTTAACTTGTTTGTAAGTTTGAAATTGAAATATAATTTTATATAGGCCAAATCACTCTGATAACAAAGCTTTTTACAATACATTTTTAGACTTGCCCAGTTCTCCCTTTTTGTTACATCTGCTCAGTTGGATATTTTTAGTAGCATTTGCATTGGGAGGATTGTGACAGAGGGCTGGAGACATAAGACTTTCAGTGTTCAGTTGCAGCATTGTGGCTGCAGTAAACAGCGCAATTAACTAAGCTTGACTGGAAAAGAGTGAGGTTCTACTCTAGTCTTCCAAAGTAAACAGTAGCTGCCTCCAGAAATCCTTACTGAACATCCATTATTGAGCATATTCGACTTGGAGAAGAGAAGATTGAAGGTTTATATATTTGAAAGGATGTCATATTGAGAAGAGGAAAAGCTTGTTTTCTGCTGCTCTGGAATCTAGGACAGAGAGAAATGGATTCAGAGGCAGGAAAAAAGATTTCACCTAAACATTCAGAAAAACTTTCTGACAGCTGTTGACAGTGGAACATGTTGCTTTGGAGTGTAGTGGAGTCACCTTCTCTGGAGATTTTTAAGCAGAGGCTGGATGGCCATCTATTGGGAGTGCTTTGATTGTGTGTTCCTGTATGGCAGTAACATTAGAACAGCCTATGAATTTCACAACCAAAAGCATAAAAAAGAATAGAGGCTGATAAAAGAACACAAAATCATGCCTGGATCAATTTTGGCCTTTAGAAGATTCACAACTCCTGGTTGTTTCATTTCACAAGCTCATTTTGTTAATTTTCATTAAACAAAATATTGAAACATTTTGAACTGCTCTTCTTTTTTTCTAGTATAGGAACCTATTCCTATTCTATTGATGCTGTTTCTGCCTCTAGTAGCAAATTTTGTTTTAAAACATTAACCCAGGAATTCATCTACTTGATTAAATTGGAGTGTGAATTTGTTGGATTTCTAAAGGTACTATTTCAAAGGTGGGGTTTCTAAGTAGAGACACTATTTAAATATATCTTTGTTCTTTTCAACTAGGAGGAGACTGACAGATCTGTTGGAACACTGCCTTTAGAGCCCATTAATACAATCATAAATAATTATCCCGAGGAATACTCTGATGACTACACAAAGCAAACGGAGGCAAGTGTTGTCAATAAGCTTTTATTTTTTAAAAATACTTTAGTTTGCATTGTAGAAGTCCAACACTGACGTTACCAGCACATACACTACCATCTTTAGGTCCCTGGATTGTAGAAGGAGCATAACTGGCATATCAGCCAAAGCTGATAGTAAGCATTCCTGATAATTGCATCTACCTGGCTGAAATTTGGAGAGATGGATCCAGAAGCAGCAAACACAGTCTTTCATGGGGAGTGTTACCCCATCCAGAACTGGTTGACACACTTCCATTTCAATTTGTTTTTCCTCATCTAGCCCATTATTTTCTTCAGACATTCATTCAAAGGAGACACATAATCCATGGCTAACAATGTTTTCGGAAGGCATGGAAAAATAAATTTGGGTGTCATCAACATACTGATAGCACCCCGCCTATTTCTCCTGATGATCTCTCTCAGTGGTTTCATGTGAATGTTAAAAAGCATTGGGGATAGAATGGCACCTTGTGGGATGCCATGTGACAGCTCCTTTTTTGAGGAGCAGCTTATCCCCAAGCAGCACCATCTGGAACCTGCCTGAGAGGTACGACCAGAGCGCCCCCTCCCCACGAGTTCCAGAATGATACCATGATCAATGGTATTGAAAACTGTGGCGAGATCTAAAAGCACCAACAGGGACAGACTTCCTTTATCAATGTTAGGATGGAGATAATCCACTAAGGCGACCATAGCAGCCTCAATTCCATATCCTGCTATGAAGTCAGTTTGAAGGAATTGCTATCCAGGACTGCCTAGAGCTGGAGAGCAACTTCCTTCTGAAATACCTTGACCAAAAAAGGAAGACTAGACACTGGTTTTTGTAATTATTAAGGTGCAGAGGATCCAGGGAGGGACTTTTCAGCAGTGGTCTGCTTCTTTTAAACAGGGTGGAAAGCAGGTTGCCTTCCTTACTTGCCCCAGCAACTTGTCCACATCCATAATATTCAATTGGAAGGGATCCAATTCAATCCCACTCAAAGAGTTGATGGACACCTTATTTTCGACTTCTGTTCCAATGACATCTAAAAAGTCTCTTATGCCAGATATTTTATTTGCTAAATCATTATTAATATAAATACAGCAGATTGTTCATATTATTATTTTCAAATTAAAAGACAAGTAATATTGAACTAACTAACATTTATGGTCTAGCTCAGTGGTTCTCAGCCTGTGGGTCCCCAGGTGTTTTGGCCTACAACTCCCAGAAATCCCAGACGGTTTACCAGCTGTTAGGATTTCTGGGAGTTGAAGGCCAAAACATCTGGAGACCCACAGGTTGAGAACCACTGGTCTAGCTAATGAGATTTTGTTGGCAAGTGCTTTTCTTAATCCCATTTTCTAAAATTGTTTTATGAAATAATTGTAGGCTTAATTATACATTACCATGCCTTATGCAAAATCTTCCAGTGCCAGAACTAATTCTACAGTTTTCAATTTTTTAAGGTTTTGGATATGGGGAAATTACAGACAGAAGAAGAATCACCTTCAGTTGATTTGAGTGAAACATCTTTTACTATAGCAGGTGTTTCTGAAAGTACTTTCAGTATACCTACCTCAGAGAGCTCATCAGTTTCTCAGTCCAGGTAAGTCTTTCCATTTTATGATTTTGTATATCTTTAATTTGTCCATGCACAGAATTATTAGGTAAAACCCATAAAATGTGACCATTATAAAGTACTTAAATCTCAACAATTAGTTGGAAGACTTCTTTGCAAAGTTCTAACCTCATTGTAGTTTGCTGTTTGGTGCAGTTCTTTGACAAACGGGGTATTGAGAAATCCAGTGATATAAAGCCTATGTTCATCTTTTTTCCCCCTTCAGTGTGATAGAAAATTCCAGTTTTGACATTCCTGTAATCACTCCTGCTGAAACCGAACAGTCAGAACCTGACTGCAATCTTGGTGGGATACTTGAAACTGATTCCCAGAGTGAGGCTTCCCCTCTTGTTCCTTCACCAGACAGGTGAGTTTTGGAATAAGCTTAGTGTTGCCATTATTTTGCTGCTTTGCACTCCCCATTATAGGTATCCATTAGCTTATGAACCTAGTGTTGCCTGGGTTAGGTATTTTGTAATGTTATTTATTAGAATAGTCCTCCTTTGGTCTTAGATTTTATGAATAGTCACATTAGAAAATCCATAACCGTATAACAGAACAATTTATAAAATCATACAGCTAATAGGGTGCAACTCCCATGAGTCTGAGACTAGTTCAGGTTGCAACTCAAATCTTTCTTTATTACGGTCTTACACAGCATAAGGAGAGTGGGGTACAATCTGATAAAAGCACAATACATTACAATCATTAAAATCTAGGCTAAAAGCTAAAATACAGAGGCATATTAAAAAGCTAAAGCACAAGATACTCTTTAATACTACTACTACTCTTCAATACTAATACTACTGCTACTATTAATAATAAATATTTGGTTGTAACTCTAATTGGGTCCAGATCTGGGTAGCTATAATTCCCTTTATCCCTAGGTCTGGCAGGGTGCAATTCTCATCAGCCCTAGTTTTGTCTGGTGACAAACTTCCATTAGCCTTAGATCTGGGTGGGTGGAACTCAAGTGTCTGCTCCTAACTAGTCAGATGGGTCCACCTTTTTGTTGAGGTGCAACTCCCATCATCCCTAAGCTGTGTAGTAAGGTAATGATGTTGAGAGTTGTAGGCTAGAAAGTAAGGTGAACTGTCTGATTGGTTAAGAAGAGAATGCCTTTGGTTGTGGGTGGGACACACACAGCTCTCCAGTTGTGGCTGGATTTCAGCTCCCATTATCCTCTATCACTCTCCCTTAACTTCGCTAATATTTTAAGCTGGATCCCGAAGAGTGTATGTACCAAATTTGTGGGTGCATTACAACTTCCATCATCCTCTATCATGTCCCCCCCCCCCCCCAATCCATCAGTAGTTAAAGTTGAATCATAAAGAGTATGTGTGCCACGTTTGGTTCAGATCCATCATCTGGATCAAATCATGGCTCTAGTCCAGAGCCATGATATGGCCTCCAGATGTGGGTGAACTGCAATTCCCATAATCTTCTGCCATCTCTCCCCAAACCTGCCAGTGTTTTAAAGTAGTCCAGATGGGTATGTGTGCCAGGTTTGGTCCAGATCCATTTTCAGTGGTATTCAAATGTGTGCCAAGTTTGGTTCAGATTTATTGCAGGTGGTCATGACGTGACTCCAGATGTGAGTGCACTACAACTTCCATTATCCTCTATCAGCCCCCCACTCCAAATTCCACCAGTATTTTAAGCAGGCCAGGAAAGGTATGCATGCCACATTTTGTCCAGCTCCATTGTCGGTGGCTTTGATGCAACTCTCTAGATATGGGTGGACTACAACTCCCATCATTTTTTGTCATCCCAAACCTTGCCAGTATTTTAGGTTGCTACAGATGAGTATGTGTGCCAGATCTATTGTTGGTGGTAGTCACATGGCTCTCTGGATGTGATTATACTTCAACTCCCATCATCTTTTGCCAGTCTCCCCAAACCCCATCAGCATTTTTTTGTTGGATCATGAAGTGTATATGTACCAAGTTCAGTTCAGATTCTTGAAACCATGTAGGAACCTTTGTGGATCAACCATACATGCATATAAACATATAAATGTATATATTTATATTTTGACTTTTATTTAGGTAGATGTGGCCACTTGCAACCTGAAATTTAAAACTATTTCTTGATGAGTTTCTAATGTTGACAGTTTTTTAGCCTTGTAGGTCAACACATAGAAAATATCTCTTCACACAGAAAGGGAAAGACGACTAAATCAGAATTTGACCCCCAAGTTGCTGCACCTGAGCAAAAGACAGATCCGAAATCAGCACTTAATACTTCGGGTAACCTAAGAGGGGAGGTATGTGGTATAACTCAAAATACCCTAATTAATGTGAACTGTTAAAGAGAAAATTTTGTATTTCACAATAGATGACAAACCTATGATGTTTTAAAGATACTTGGTAGCTTCCCAGCTCTTTCTTTCTAGTAATGTGTTCTTACAGCTTGGATTTAGGTCAAGGCCGAGCAAGTTGGGTCTCTCTAGCTGCTCTTGGGTTGCAGCTCCATTGGTCATGCTGATGGGTGTTATAGTCCAGCAGTCTCTGGAGACCTACAAGTTGTCCATTGCATCTACAGACAGATGCCTAATATTGTCCCTTTTTATAGCTCTTTCAGCTACTAGGAAATTATGCTAAAATTTCATATGTAATAACACTGACTGTAGCTGTTGATTTTATTTATACAGTATTTTGCATTTGTTTTCTACATTTTTGTGAAAAAGTATCTAACAATAAATAATGCAAGGAGATTAAAACAATAAAAACTTAGATCTAGCAATAAAATATCATCAAATCAGCAAACTGGCAAGTAAAATATTATCCTAAACCATATTTCAAAATCCCTGTTGGAGTAAAATGATCTGAACTTGCTTAAGCATCTGTATCTGGAAAAGGCTACCCTTTTATTACCAGCTATTTTCCACCGGACAGTAGAACAATTAGGAAAGTATCTAAGGTCTAATAGAGAATATGACTTGACCTTTAGAAACCTAACAGCAAAGTAAAATACTGCAAATAATATAAATGTTTGTTTCTCATTTACTACAGCATCCCATTTTGATATCTGTAATTGTGTCAAGTTGGTCCCCGTCGTAGTACATTATGTACTTAGTACATTAAGTAGTGTCATTCTCACTAATGCAAGACTATGTCTGCATCTGGGCAGATATTGAATTTCTTGTCTCTAACAAGAATAATAACTATTTCAAATGTAAGCTGTGCTTCTGGCTTTTTCATAAAATTCTGCAATTCAACAGACCTCTCAACCTGCCAGTATTGGTATTATGCTGTACTTTTCTTTCATTGTTTATTTCATGATAAGCCTTACATATTTTTCTGTATTGTCAGTTTATAATCTTAACCTTCTTAATAGCTCAAAATCTGATACAATTTTGTTGGCTTGTGCAGAGAAAAATGGGAGAAATCGACCCAACTTCTGTAATAGCTCCAAAGGACCCAGGAGATATCCCCACATTTGATGAATGGAAAAAGCAGGTTATGGAAGTGGAAAAAGAAAAGAGTGAGTTTATTTTTTTCAGTTAAACTTTCAACAGAATTCTCCCTTGAAAATCCAGTATTAATAAATAGCTATGCTTTCTGACTTTATGAAGGATTCTGTAAGTTTCTATATAAAGGAGTTTTATTTACAGCATAAATTTGATCCTAAATCAGAAGAGCTGAGTCTGGCCTTGGCTTAAAATGTAGAATACAGATTTCCTTCAGGAAGCAAACTGAAGGTATTGTGAATGGTTTTGAAATTCAAGCAACCATAGCTTCCTTTGGAAGATTGGTCCAGTGTCCAGCTTTACTTGCTTCCATCATAATAGCTTACAGTGGCATGATAAAATGGTGTCACATTTAAAATGATAAAATCAAGGTTTGCTTTTTGAAAGTTTTAAAAAAATATTTCCCAGCATGGATAGTTGAATCCATGGATGCAGACTCATGGGTATGATAGGCTAGCCATAACTAGTTTTTATTTTCATGTGAACTTTCATGGATATAAACCCATTTCTTTGGATGCAGCACTGAATGGCCATATGGCCTCTGGTATAAAGAATTTAGATAGAATTTTGATTCAAGGGGGCTGAGTTTGATTCAGGGGGGCTGAGTCTGAGTGAAAGAGGGTCTACCCTAGCAAACCTTTTGTATTGTTACCCCAATAACCCCATGCATATGGGATATATTGAGTATGGTGATCAGATCATGATATGAATAAACATAACAGTTTAAATAATGCACCAGTAAGGCCTTCTCGGACCACCCTGAGAATTTCGGGGGGGGGGGGGGAAGCCCAAAGCCCCCCCCCCCCGGCTACATGCCTGCCTCTGGTATAAAGCACATTTTTACAGTTGTGGGAGTGGGATAGAATTTAATAGGATCCAAAATATACAGTTACAGTACAGGTTCCGGGAGCTTATCATCCAGAAGTTCAGTGTACAGGAGCTTGATGCACAGGGTAAGATGAACAGGTGAGACAAATGGGTGTTTGTGTGGGTGTGGAGGAAGAAATGGCATAAGGTGAGCTTGTGTCTCTAGGGGCAGACCTCTCCAGTCATAGTCAGTTTGGTGAGTTTGTTGAGCTTAGGTTGTGACCTTTTGCAGGGCCGGGAAGGCTGTTTGTTGTTTTTTTGTGCTGGGTGGAGGCGATCTTGCTTGCTCATTAGGGTTCTATTGTTCTGGTGTGAATAGGCTCAGGTCATCTATCTGAAACCCTGGTTTGAAGAGGGAGGTACATCTGCATAGAGGAAGTAGGTCAAATAGGGAGAAAAAGAGGACCCATGCTGACATCAATACCTGGAAGTATTCTGGAGCAGGTCATCAAATGAATCTTATGTCCTTTTTGTTTATAGAGTTACAACTTATGTAGATGAAGGGAATGCTGTGAATATAGCATATCTTTATTTCAGTAAGTAAGGCCTTTGATGAGGTTCCCTACGATATTCTCACAAAGAAGCTAATAAAATGTGGTCCAGACAATGTTACTATTAGGTGGATTGGGAGTGCATTGACTGGCCAAACCCAAAAGATTCTCATGGAGAGAAGTGATCAGTGGGGTGCCACAGAGTTCTGTCCAGGGCCCAATGCTGTTCAACATCTTTATCAATTACTGAAATGATGGAATAGAAGGCATGCTTACCAAGTTTACAGATGACAACAAATTGGGAGGGATAGCTGTACCCCAGAGGACAAGATCAGAATCCAAAATGATCTTAACATATTGGAGACCTGGGCCAAAAGTAACAAAATGAATTTCAGCAGGGAAAAATGTATGGTCCTACACTCAGGCAATAAAAATGATGGGAGACGCCAGGCTTGAAAACAGTACATGTGAAAGGGTTCTAGGTGTCTTGGTAAAACATAAGCTGAACACGAGTCAACAGTGTGATGAGGCAGCTAAAAAGGTCAGTGCGATTCTAGACTGCATCAGTAGGAGAATAGTGTCTATATTGAGGGAAGTCATAGTCTCACTCTGTAATGCTTTGGTCATGTCTCGTATAGAATACCGAATCCAGTTCTGGGTACTACAGTTCAAGAAGGATATTTACAAGGTGGAACGTGTGACTGAAATGGTAAAAAATGGATGATGAGCAAAATGATTCAAGGTTTGGAAACAGTGTCCTATGAAGACCAGCTTAGGGAGAAAGGAAGGCTGAAAGAGGAGACATGATAGCTAGGATGTTGTATTGAGGAGGGAGCAGACTTGTTTTCTGCTAAAGTAGAGACTTGGGCATAGAGCAATAGATTCAAATTGCAGGAAAAGAGAGGAATAATTAGGAATAATTTCCTGATGGTAAGAGGTGTTTGGGAGTGGAATATGCTAACTCAGGGTATGGTGGATTCTCTTCTGGAGGTTTTAAGCTGAAGCCATCTGTTGGTAGTGCTCTGATCATAAGTTCTTTCATCTCAGGATTTGGATTGAATGGCCCTTATGGTCTCATCACCCTCACCCTAAATTACTAAGTTGAATTATATTCACAGAAGAAGTGTGAATAAAGACAAAGACTTCATGGCACACTAAATATATTAATGCAAGACTCTTTGTTATGGAACTTATAACAAAAGAGTGTTTTAAACCCTGGCAAACTGACGTTTGATTAGCATACTTATTATTTTTAGATATAAACACTAACATCACTGTAAAGATCTGAAAAAAATGTGCATTAACTTATGCAGCCCTTTGAAAATTTAGAACAAGGGTCATGATTTGCATCTTTCTGGATCCTGTTACATTCTATCTCACTTCCTCAACTATGTATCTATATATGCTTTATGCCCGTAGGTATATGTAACCAAATTGATATAATATTCCTCAGCTTATCTGAATGTGACTTCTCACCTATTTTCCCCCTTGTGTAGCATTTTTCAACTATAAACTCATCAGGGTAGTTACTTTTAGTATGCTGTAAAGCAGAGTTTCTGAAACTGTGCTCCTCCACATGTTTTGGACTTCGGTTCCCACAATTCCGAACAGCTGTTAAGCTGGCTGAGATTTCTGGGAACTGAAGTCCAAAACATTTGGAGGACCACAGTTTCAGAACACACTGCTGTAAAGCACCAATGAACATTGATAGTACTTTTTTTTTTGGTCGTGTCAGAAGCGACTTGAGAAACTGCAAGTCGCTTCTGGTGTGAGAGAATTGGCCGTCTGCAAGGACATTGCCCAGGGGACGCCCGGGTGTTTTTGATGTGTTACCATCCTTGTGGGAGGCTTCTTTCGTGTCCCCGCATGAGGAGCTGGAACTGATAGAGGGAACTCATCCACACTCTCCCCGCATTCGAACATGTGACCTGTTGGTCTTCAGTCCTGCCGGTACAGGGGTTTAACCCACTGTGCCACCGGGAGCTCCACCATTGATAATACTAAGGAACTGCTAAACTTTCAGCCCATGTGTAGTTTAAGGTAGTAGAAGAATCACCTTGGTTCTGCATTCTTGGATCATCATGGACCTTTGGCTAATACTAGGATGCTTTTCTGTAATACTTATTGAGAGATTTCCTATTTCCTCTTGTAAACTTTCTCCACTTCGTTGAAAACAGACGGTTGTCTTCCCAATTTACAAAAAAGTATAGTATGAAATTTGGTGAAGAAAACAAGGAGGAACTTTTACCTTGTATTCTTTGTCTTGTATGCAGGTCAGTCCATGCACCCATCTTCCAATGGAGGTCAGCATCCCACCAAAAAGGTCCAAAAAAATAGGAATAATTATGCTTCAGTTGAGTGTGGTGCTAAGATACTAGCAGCTAATCCAGAAGCAAAGGTAACTATACTTGTGTCTTTTCATATTGTTTTCCACTTATGGCAAACCTAAGATGAGGCAATCATAGGACTTTCTTAGCAAGATTTGTTTGCAGGGGAGCAGATTCTTCAAGATACTGCAAAAGATCTCCAACTTCTGTTAGCTTGTGTAGAGTGTGTGGTAATTCTGAGATCAAGTACTCCCTTGAAGGGAAAAAAACTTTGAATGCAAGAAAGCAACAGCACCAGTCAGTGAGAAGTACAAAATATAAGACATAACCAATCACACAATGCAAACCATCAAAAAAACTTGTAAGGACTATGTGAAACAGCTCTTGCCCACAGGATTTTGCCAGAATAAAATTATCCATCTTTAAGATACCCCAGAGTTTTATTTTCACCCTCCCAAAGTGGAAATTACAAATTTGTAATTGAAGAATAAGTTGGACTTAGATCTCTACAAAGCAATACCAAAACATGTTAACTCATCTTTTTCTTCATACAAGGACATGATATAAATTAAATTTTACTTTCCCTTGTTCTAAATGTTCATGAACATTTCTATTAAGCAAATATTGGCTTTCTAAATTACTTTAGTCTTGAGACACTTTACTTTATATGGCCCTTTGGTAATAAATTTAGGAACATCAGGAAATGGATTCAGAACCACAAATCCAAAGACCACATAATAAATATAGATCTTGTTATAATTGTTGAGGCATCAAATTGTTTCCAATTTGTGAACCGCTCTGAGTTGCCTCTGGGCCGAGAGAGGCGGTATATAAATATAGTAAATAAATAAATTATTATACTAATATGTACAATAAAAACAGTTGGGGTGTTTGAAAACATACCGATCTTGGATTGTGGTATTAACAACTGTCCAAGTATGGATATTTGGCATGAAGTTAATTTCAACAGAAACACTTTTTCAAATTTTAAATAAACAACAGATTCTAATTCCTTTTGGGAGGATAGGAAATACTGAATGGAAGACTAAATAAGTTGTGGCACAAACCAGTTTTATGAAAGTGGCAGCACTGTTGATATTGGCAGTGATAAGTCAGAGTTGTGGGTGTTGCATACAACCCACGAGTTCATTTATTCTTGGCTTTGTGAAATTGCCCTTCAGGCAGCCTTTTCCTGAAATGCACCATTTTTTTTTAGTAATTTTGTGAAATTTGTTTGTGATTATGTTATAACACTGTTGTGTAGCTGGATATCAAATAGAGAATTGCATGTATCTCTTTGGAAAGGTTTTTTTTTTTTTTGGTAAAAAGCTGATATTGCAAATTTGGAAAAATTACACTTGTGTTCGGAGGACTAATATAATTAACAAACCAATGATATAATTCCCAAGGATTCATAAAGCAGGGATTTATAAAACTGTGATGTTTTCTTCCTGTAATCCAAATGTGAAGGTTTTCAGTATTTATTGCGATATATGATTTGTGCGATGTTGTGTATATAGCCATATATAAGTCTAGAAATGTTAGTCAAAACATTATCCAAAAAAGGTTGACTTATCTACAAGTCATTCTTTGTACTATATTTTAACTCTTATCGAAAAAGGAACTATCTCTGAGTAAAATGGCAAAAGGCAAGAGTTTAGTCTGTCCTAAGAACATAAAAAAAGTGGCCGATCCCATGTATTTTCTTCAACTCAGGGGATACTTCTGGCTGTTTTGAATACATGGACGGAAATTAGTAGTTCCAGCAGCCAGCTATGGCTGGTCCTTGTGAAGGTGCTGACACTTTCCCTTCTCTGAGGATTGACCCTCAACTTATCCAGGGGTCATATCAAAATCCTTAATTTTAGCCTCAAAGCCTGCTTTTGATTTATACATGATGTTGACTTATACAGTACATGAACATGTACTGCAAATTTCAGGCTCAGGTTTTTTTACAATGTCCTGTCCTATCCTATCCTGTCCTCTATTTATTGTTAATCCACTCCTTTGGGCTTCACGCAAGTCTACCATTTGCCAAAATATATGATCCTGTGTTTTTCTTTTCCATTTCTTCTCAAATAACTTAGCCATTGGTTTGTCCCATCAAATACGAGGTTTGCCCAAGAGCTGCTTATGGTCTCTTGGTATTCAATTTGTTAGTCAACATGTCCATCGGTTGTCTTCTGTTTGTGCTATATGTCCTGCCCTTCTTCTTTTTGCCTCATAGATTTTATTGACCACGTCACGTACCCTGGTTCTTTGACGCAGCTCTTTATTGCTGGCTTTATCTCTTATTGTTACGTCACACATCCTTCTTTCCATTGTTCTCTGAGTCACAACCAGTTTTTCCTCCTCTAACTTTGTTGTTGCCCATGTTTCAGATGCGTATAACATTACCAGTAAAACTATAGTGTTGAAGATATCTGCTCTGAACCTTCTACAATGTAGGCAGTTAGAAAATAGACCTGGATCAATTGTTAGGTCTCGGAATGATGAGGAAAATTGGCAAGGATTTCTCACTTACAGTTCTTTAACACTATAATGCTGGAGTGAAGAAAGCATTGGGTAAACTTAAGAGCATTTTTTGTGAAAAGGCAGTGAACTTCATTCATTTCTGGTGCTCAAATCAAATTATCAGCTCAGAAATCTTTAGTTCTGGGACCAGGCCTTCGGACAGTAGATGTATGTACCATTTTAGAGGGACATTGACTGAAATGGCGATTCGACTGACGAGACTGTTTTATTGTTTTAATGCTTGCTGATGTATAGTTTGATTTATGTTTAATTGTGGTTTTACTATTTTAATTGTTTGTATTGGCATCGTATCGATGCCCAATGTAAAGCATTGAATTTTGCCATTATTTATGTGTAAACCGCTTTGAGTCCCCCCCAGGGGTTTATTTATTTGTCGTGTCAGGGCAACCAGTTAATTATATTACATTTCTAACAGAACAAAGCAAACAAAAGGTGGTATATAAATACTGTAAATAATAATAATAAATATATCTTTTGAAACTGTTTTTGTTTTAAAAGCAAACATCTCAACCTTGCTGCCTATGTTAAACTGACTTCTGTTTCTTTAATACTGATATACTGAAACCATGTGTGCAAATACTGAAAACGAATGCAAAAAATTGCTTGTTTTTCTTTTGCACATTTTAAAGCATAATTAGTTATTGAATAGAATAAGAAACTATAATCTTTATTTTTTTTTATTCTTCACAGAGTACGTCAGCAATATTAATGGAGAATATGGACCTTTATATGCTTAATCCATGCAGTACAAAAATCTGGTAAGTATTGTTTCTGTAGCAGTGGGGGAAACCAAGGTTACCCCCAGTCAATATGGAGCAGTGAGAACCACAGCTGGCGCATACACAAAAAACTTCACCATTTTTGTAAACATTCAATTCTCTAGCCTTGTTTCCCTGCACCTTCCCTTAGCCCTAACCAATATATCTAATAGTGAGAAATGTTGGGAGTTTCTGTCCAACAACATTTGGAGAGTTACATGTTCCTTAAAGCCTGCTTAGACATCTTCATTATTCATCAAAACAGGGAAAGACATTGAAATTCTTATATCCTGGATGAGCTTCATATTAGTCACTGATTATGCTGTTTCTTAGTAATGATACATAAAATAATAGAGTTGGAAAAGACTACAATGGACATCCAGTCCCTTGCTGTACAAGAATACCCAAATCAGAGCACTCTTCATGTTATTTATTTTTGTTTTAAAGGTTTGTTGTTGAACTTTGTGAACCAATTCAAGTAAGGCAGCTGGATATCGCAAATCATGAGTTATTTTCATCTACTCCTAAGGACTTCCTGGTATCTATCAGTGACAGGTATGACTCATGATACTAATATGAATTAGAAATTTGTATTGTTGAAGGATTTCATGGCTGGAATCAACAGGGTGTGGTGTGTTTTCTGGGCTTTATGGCTATGTTCTAGCCGCATTTTCTCTTGATGTTTTGCCTGCATTTGAGGCTGGTATCTTTGGGGGATCTGATAGTAGTCAAGCAAGTGGAGTTAATATACCTGTGGGATGTCCAGAGTGGGAGGAAAGAACCATTGTCTTTTAAACAAGTGCAAAGGGTGCAATTGGCAAGTTAGATTTTTATGTGTTGAGTAGGATCCACCCATTCGCATAAATGCCCTTTTGAATTGTTTGCTGCATAGACATCCTTTGTCTGGGTGGTGTTCACTAGCACTTACTGTCTGGAGACCTCCTGTGTCTGGGTAGTGTTCATTAGTTATTGTTTTGATTCTAGTGTTTTTAAATATTGGTAGCCAAATTTTGTTCATGATTATGGTTTCTTCCTTTCTGTTGAAATTGTCTATGGGCTTGTGGATTTCAATCTGTATAGTTTGACATAGTAGTTGTCAGAGTGGTCCAGAATTTCTGTGTTCTCAAATAATATGCTGTGCCCAGCTTGGTTTATCATGTGTTCAGCAATAGCACATAGCAATAGCAGCCCTAAACGGTTCTGGCCCAACTTACATGTCCGAATGTATTTCCCTTATGAACCATCTAGGACTTTAAGATCATCTGGGGAGGCCCTGCTCTCTTTACCGCCTTCGTCACAAGTACATTTGGCGGAGACGAGAGACAGGGCCTTCTTGGTGGTGGCCCCTTAGCTGTGGAACACCCTCCCTATAGATATTAGATCACCCACCTCCTTTTTAACATTCCAGAAAAAAATCAAGACGTTGCTTTTTGAACAAGTGTTTGCAAATGCAGAGTAACTGACATAGGAAAATGGAATGACTAGACAATGAGTCCGGACAACATTTTCAACAAGGAGACACTATGAATTTAATATATTGTCGAAGGCTTTCATGGCCAGAATCACTGGATTGTTGTAGGTTTTTTCGGGCTATATGGCCATGTTCTAGAGGCATTTTCTCCTGACGTTTCACCTGCATCTATGGCAAGCATCCTCAGAGGTAGTGAGGTCTATGAATTTATATTTTATTGATTTGTTTAGTTTTTATTATATGTTATGTTTTTAATTGTATTTATGACATTGCAAGCATTGAATTTTGCCCTGTTAATTGTCTTGAGTTGCCTACGGGCTGAGAAAGGTGGTATACAAATACAATAAATAAATAAATATAGAAATTCTGGACCACTCTGGCAACCACTATGCCAGGTGATTTAGAATGCAGCCATTTCAATGACAATGCTTTATATGTGTGAGCACTACTTTTAAAGTACAAATAACTGGTACTTTTAATAGTTCTACTAATTGGTATGCTTTCATTGAAAAAGAACTACTTAAAACTGAAGTAGGATTAGTTCAGATACTAATTGTGTTTGTTCTGTTTCAGGTATCCAACAAATAAGTGGATCAAGCTAGGCACGTTTCATGCTAGAGATGAGAGGAATGTCCAGAGTTTTCCTCTGGATGAGCAGATGTATGCGAAATATGTAAAGGTAACTTATCTACAGTGATTGCAAGTATCTGTCTCTGATTAATAATTTAATGTGGATTATCATAAGCCAAATTCTCACACTTGCCTGCCTGGACTCTCTGTCTTAGTAAGTTTTATGCATTTTCACAAGTATTTCTACCAAATACTCGTGAAGCTATTGACAATTGTTGCTGGTACCATTGACTCCTTTCAGTCCCCACACCTTATGCTATTGGCAAAAGAACAGTTCCTGCTGTTTCCTTGGTTTTTTGTGGTTGCTAAAGAGAACAATTGAAATACTGCCCTGTTTTCTTACTTCTCTTTGGCATTGTCATCTATTCTCTGCTCTTTTCCAACTACAATCCTAATTACGTGCCATTAAAAAAAACTTGCATTAAGTGGCCTTAATTTATTCACTGAGATTATAATTCCATTTCTTGTGTTCAGTCCTGTTTTTCATGTTTTAAAATAGTGGAAATAAACACTATTAGAATAATTGGGCAACTTCAATTCTGTTACTCGGTGTTTTACGTGTTTTAATCCATTGTCCCTTTAAAATAAGGCTGGGCTGCATACTAACTCCCTATTCATTTTTTGTTAGCTCTTCTATCCTCTTCCCAGGTTAAAAAAAAGATTAATGTAATTCTCTAAAGCAATTTCCTCTAATGCAAAGCTTGTCACTTTGCAGTGGGGCTATGCAGTTATAATCAGAAATGAATTTCTGACTATGTGAACTTTTTAAAGAAAAGAAGGAAAGACGGTAAGAGCTGTTCAGCAGTGGAATATACTGCCTCGGAGCGTGGTGGAGTCTGCTTCTCTGGAGGTTTTTGAGCAGAGGCTGGATAGTTATCTGTCGGGAGTGCTTTGATTGTGTGTTTCTGCATGGCAGAAAGTGGATGGCCCTTGGGATCTCTTCCAACTCCATGATTCTGTGATTTTTTTTGCCAGTTACAACCATTAGCAGGTCTTAGATAACTGAAATTCTCCCTTGAATCTTCTGATATTGCCCACCCATTTAAAAATGAAAACAGGTCTAACAGGCAAAAAGCTAGGTGTGATTATTTTAAGTGGTAAGGTTTAGTTTTTAATATCTTGTAATTTATATTAATTTCAGCCACAGCATTATCTTTTTCATACACTCTCACACACACACATATAAATGAGAGACTTTTTAGTATATTTCTTTATGTCAGCATTGTATATCTCAGCACTGCCGACACTTCATTTTGAAGAGGAATATATTGTATAGATTTCTGTGTAAATGTACTGAACTGTATAGCAAATATCCATTGCTTGGGGAGATTGTTTTGAAAGCCTACCCTGTTGTCACACAGCTTCCTGAGAGGATAATAGTAATAATAATAATAATAATAATAATAATAATAATAATAATAATAATAATAATAATACAAAGGCTCTGGCGTAAACCAGTACAGGTGGTCCCAGTGGTCATTGGCACACTGGGTGCCGTGCCAAAAGATCTCATCCGGCATTTGGAAACAGTAAACATTGACAAAATCACAATCTGTCAACTGCAAAAGGCCACCTTACTTGGATCTGCACTCATCATTCGAAAATCCATCACACAATCCTAGACACTTGGGAAGTGTTCACTTGTGATTTTTTGATATGAAATCCAGCATATAGATCTCGTTTGCTGTGACATACTGTGTTTTTGTGTCAGTGAAAGAATAATAATACTTTATATATAGACCGCCCTCTCTCCTCAAGGGGACTCAGGTCGGTTACTTCATATGTCACAAATATACTTGATGGTTGGTTGGCCACCTGTTATGGATGCCCACAATCACTGTTGACAGCTTGTTTCTACCGGGCTACTCTATCCTTGGGATGCTAGCATAGACCTTGCCCCTTAACCTTTAAACCAATCCTTTCATTTAATATTTAGTGACCTTAAGTTGGCTACAACAGTGAATCAGTGAATGTGGGGTTTTTTAAATAGCTTGATGTACATGACTCATTTTTCTATTTTCTCTCCTCTAAATGAATTAAACCTGAGGAGAGACTTAAAAAAAACTATAAGAATAAAAAAAATAGAATAAAAGGTTTTTAAATTTGTCAAATAATAATAGTGGCACAATTCTTATTTCAAAGTTACAATTTGTATCTACTTTATCCTCACCTGAATTCTCATTTCAGACAGTCAACTATCAGTGCCGCACTCCCATGCCATTTCCAACTCACTCTCACCTATGTGACATTTAAACAGCCAAACCCTTTCTTTTGCCTTTATCTCAGTCCATCTACAACAAGTGTTTGGCTATACCAATGGTTCTCAACCCAGATGTTTTGGCCTTCAACTCTCAGAAATCCTAACAGCTGGTAAATTGGCCAAAAACATCTGGGGACCCCAAGTTGAGAACCACTGGGCTATACCTATAGGCAGGTCCTTTGCCCTGCTGTTCATCAGCTAGCTTTTATGGGTTTTTTTCAGGATGTATGATTAGATTCCATGTGTTGTGTATAAAGAGAGATACAGTATGACTTTAGTAAAAGAAAAATGTATATGCAAAAAGAAAAATATTGCTGGAAATTCAGAGAATAATTTAAAATATTGAGGAAATTGCAATTTGGCAACTAGGAGTTCACAATTGTTAGGAATTTTGTATATGTAATAAGAAATCTGAGATCAGAATTATTGGAGACTTGCGGCAACTTCCAAAAAGCCATGATAGAAGAGTGACAAGTGAAAATGCAAATAAACAGTGTGCACATGCATGCAAAAATAACCTGCAATGACAGTATTGCAAGGGGTCTAGCAAGTGTGCAATTTAGAGAGTGAAGATAATATAAATGCAATTTTCCTGCTTTGCAGGGGGTTGGACTGGATGGCCCATGGGGTCTCTTCCAACTCTATGATTCTATACCCAGGAAAAGATAATGTTTGTAAAACATCATGACAAAACAAATTTTAAAATGTTTATGAGTATTCTTAAACACTTCGATTTTGTTAAATTCTTTTACAATTATCGCTCAAAATATTTCCCTTTGTACTGTGGTGTGTAGATGAAATTAAAAATTGATAGGCATGTGAAATACAAGCAATTCAACAACTAAGCTCTTGAATGTCACTGTCTTCCCTGTGAGATAGGTTTTTTCTTACTGCTCTCTAATTAAAAGCATGGCAGAAACTCTGGCCATATAACAATTAGAAGCTAGTATAATTTGACTGGGCATGTTCTATTAATATATTAATCTTACCTTTCCTGTAAAATAATCTCTTGTAGCTTTGTTTTGGAGGGGCTGGAGAGGGCAGGAAGAGGAATTGGTAGAATTCCTGTTTTTTGCTTCTGTAAATAGGTTATTGTTGCCTGTGGCATGCATACAGTCTACTGACATTTCTTTCTTTTTTTTTCTTCTTTTCTCTGCTTCAGATGTTCATCAAGTACTTAAAGGTTAGCAACGTCTTCATAATGTTGAATGTCTAGGGCATGGATACACACTGTGGCTCACAACATGATTGCATGCAAGAATAAAATCTGGCAAGATTATAATATGGCTAATATGAATTTAGTCTTTCTTTTCTACTGTCCACAGATACATTCTTATAGTTTCTATTCTTAAGTGTGTGTTTTTGTTTTTGTTTTACTTAGGTGGAGTTGGTATCACATTTTGGATCAGAACACTTTTGTCCTTTAAGCCTTATAAGGTAATTTTCTCCTTTTGTATAGTTGGATTGGGATCCTCCTTGTCATTTTACTTGCACTTGAGCTACTATGTGTACTCTGTTCAGATGAGTATGTTGTTATGGGGTGTGGGGGTGGACACATTTGAAATAATTAGTGAAATAATTTACCCTAGCTAAGATCCCTGATGGTGTTGCCACCCCCCCCCCTCCCCCCAGATTTACGCTGGGAGTTTTGGGATGGGATGCCCTTGTTGAGATTGAGAGGAATGGTTTGCCATTGGGAGGAGGTCTTCGCTTCTAAAGGGAAGGGAAACTTCAGATGCTGGAAGGGAGGCTTCTGCAATGTCTTGGAGTAAAACTTTGTCCCAAAATATATAACTTTGCAGGATAAGATGGGCCAACGTAATTAATTCTGCTCAGGATTTGAGGCTGGTGGTTTTGGCAGCCATTGAAACAATTAGGATTCTGTCTAGACTGAAAGATAATGTTTTTTTTTCAATATTTGCAAACAATTAGAGCAATGGTTCTCAAAGTGTGCTTCGTGGAACCCTTGGAGCTCCATGAAGCATATTGAGGGGCTGCCTGGTTTCCTCTTTGTCCTCCCCTGAAATACTGTTAAGTTTATGTTGGTCAAAATGGTTGCACATTTTAAATATTGTGTATTTTTCTTTTTCTTCCTTTTAAAACATTTTTTGCACTACAAACAAGGTATGTGCAGTATGCATAGGAATTTGTTCATGTTTTTTTCAATAAGTTCACACAAACACTCTCCATCTGCCACTGTCCTGGCCCATCTGGCAAATTTTAAAACACAATGCGGCAAAAAGTTTGCCCATGCCTGGTCTATATACATTATATTTAACATAATATATAACATATAATATAAACATTTCTTTGGGCTCCACAAGAAACTTTTGCTTCAAAAAGGGCTCTGCAACTGAAAAAGTTTGAGAACCCCTGAACTAGAGAATCTAAGAGGCTCTATAGAGAAAACTATTCCTTTGAAAGGGCAGTATGGAAGATTGTAAACCAGTGAAGCACATGGGTATCTTGAAGTAGTAAGGAATGGAAAGGCACATTTCTTAATTTTGTGCAAAACGTTGGTTGGATGGGTGTTCTAAGAAGATATGGAAATAGCTCTGGTTTCTCATATCTTCATTCACTTTAATGAAAATGTGATTCACAGGGTATTTGGAACCAGCATGGTTGAAGAGTATGAGGAAATAGCAGACTCACAGTACCAGTCCGAACGACAGGAACTCTTTGATGAAGATTATGGTAAGCAAATCATTGTCTCACGAATTGCCCTCAATTATTCTCAGCAAAAAAGCTATAAATTCCTTGATGGGATTCATTTATTTCTATTTAAAAAATGAGTGCCGAGTACAGGGGAGGTGAGGTGGCTAAACAATACACTGCTACTGTAGATGTTGACCAGAAAAAAGAAAGAAAGATGGGTTAAACCTTTGTACTTTTGGAACCCGAGGCTCTTTTATTATAGTCCTGTTTTCAAGTTGCTTGGGAGAAGCGGTTCTGTCTGGTGTTTCTTATCATAGCACAAAGGCCAGAGTCATAGCTATTACAAAGTCTTTCGTATAGCCTTGTAACTTAATGGGTAAGGTGAAACTTAAGGAATTCTGGGGTTAGGAGATGATTTATTGTATTGTATCTGGTTAAAGTGAGAAATGAGACAAATTCAGGGTTTGACAGTACCAGAGTAAAGAAAGAAATGTCCCAACCTTTCCCCATCAGAGCTGTAACATGACAACCTAGTTGCTTTCCATACATCTCCTTCAACTTCTACCCTGATTTAAGTGTTTCTGTATAGCTTTGTTTTGTCTTTTTCATGTTTTCATAGAGGAGACATTTACAGAATACAATAAAAGATTTTGAATCTTCACCAACTTTCCTATTCAATTTAAGATTTGTAAGAATGTTTTTTCCCTTAAATTTCAAACAGATTATCCTCTGGACTATCCTTCTGTGGGGGAAGAAAAATCTTCAAAAAATCTTCTTGGTTCTGCCACAAGTAAGTTGCTGTAGGCTTAAATTGTCTTTCACGGTAAACCTCCGAGTGAGAGAAGGTTCATGTGAGAAAGCTCCAGTGTGAAGGCTGCTGCATGTAAAGCTACTATGTATTTGTTTATTTGTATTATGCAACCCTAGTTATTGTAAATAGTGCAACCATGTTATTTTGCTACAAAGAAAAGCCTCCTATGTGTTTTTGTTCGGTTTATCACTTTGGGTTACGCTGCTGCTAATAAGTTACTCTGCTGTATATTTATGAGGATGGTCTTTTGTTAATAAGACCACTCATCCAACAGATTTTATATCCCTTTCCACATCAGAGAAGAATCAGAGGGGCAGTAGAAGGCAGTAGAAGGTGGTCTGAGGAACTGGATTGTCAAGAAAGGGTTTTAAAATCTACTTGAGGCTTCATGATGGGAAGGGAATAGGGGGCTGGCACTATTGGAAGGACATCAAAGGAAAGGCAGCAGAAGTGGGATGAGGAGATCAAGCTAGTTAGCAGCAACAGCAAACTGGTCAATAATCAAATCCATGAAAGAGAAACCCATGAATGGGGGGGGGGGAGGGGGGCTGATACTGCTTATTGAATAATTGGAACTGTATCTTGGTCACAATTTGTATCAGAATCCTTATTTGGGTTTGTATTCCTGCTTGATGTCTGCACTACTTACGGCTGAGAAACTGGGAATCTACTTACAAAAGATTGAACCAGGAGTACATGTATAATAACAACTTTGGGAGTGTCTGCAAAAAAATTTAGTGTATATTCTCTGATGTTTTCAGATGCCATTTTAAATATGGTAAATATTGCTGCTAATATCCTTGGAGCGAAAACAGGAGAAGATTCTGTTGAGCAAGGTAAATTAATGACATTTGGGGAGTAAATGATTTTTATTTAGATTTGAGGGTTACAATTCCTTGGTTCATGTTGAGCTTTCTTATCTGTATAATAAGTGCTGTAAAAATATTATTTTAAATATATATTCACTTACTTAAACTATTAGCATAAGTCAAGTAACTTGTTAATTTGAGACTATTTTTGTTTTGTTTTATGAAAGCAACCTGTTTTCTTTTAAAAGGCAATAAAAAACAGCCATGTAATGATTTAGCCATAGTGATTAAAACCAGGTGAAAAAGATAGTGAGCATTTATCATTTGAAAGTTTTCTTTAAAAGGCATGTTTTCAACTTCCTATGGAAAATCATTAGAGAAGAGAGTGAGATGAGCTTCTCTTGGGATATAGTTGTTAAGCCTGAAATATACAAATAGAATTTTGTTTTTTAGGCTGAAAGGATTGCAATTCTGTTGGATTTTAAATAGGAGTTGCTTCCCCTGGTGGAGACACCAGAATGTCTTTCTTTTTTTCTGCCTGTGAGAGTGCATGGGAAGAGCAACCCAGTTAGAGGATGTTCATTCCTTTTCTGCTGCAAACAAACATATCACAGTTAAGACCAACATTTATTTCAGACTAGCTTGGGTACCTGGCATTACCTGGGTTATTTGTGTGCCATAGAAAAGAATAGGAAAGGGTTAAGGGAGAGGCACCCACTGCCTCTCCCTTAACCCTTTCCTATGGCACACAGCAAACAGAGGAATTGATGAGCAACCGAACATACTAGAGAAGTTTGGGGAGGAGTTGTAGGTACTGCAAATTCCACACCAATGGAGAGAGTTAGAAACACTGGGATGTCTGTGGTGGAGGAAAAACAGAAAATCTAGTATGAAAATGTCCTTGTATGAAAGCCTTCACTTCGGTGGTGGCAATATTGTGTTTGTGGAGGACATTGGCAGGGCTCCTGTACATGTTCATGGAACTCATTATAAACTGCAATGTAATTGGAGTCTCCTGAGTAGTGGGAACTATAGCTGTTTGTGGAGATAGGAGCTTGTCTGTGTAAATGCCACATACACACATACATATTTTCACTTTTATTATGTGTATACAAGATCCGGATAGCTGTTCTGTCTTGTCTTTGTTCCATATTTTCTGTTTTACTGGAGACAGTCAATAGTAGTTTGTGGTGTTTTGGTCTGAGACATATTATGTTACATTTGGAATGAAGGATTTAGCTTTCAGATTTAGGACTAAGTTTGCTAGTTGAGGACTCTCTTCCTTTCTCCTGTTAATTTCCAGGGCCTCCGAGAGTAGGTTAGAATAATACATTAAAATATTATCTTTAAATAGAGGGTTTTAAAAATATAATGAGGTGCATTATAGGCCATTAATTCCAGGTATTATCCTTTTGTGATGAAATATAATCCTGTTATATGAACTCGGCATCATTAAATGTATGTGTATTTTGATAGGAAATAAGAGCATCTCGGAAAATGCAACTGCCACTTCCATGATGACACCCGAATTGCCACAGCCAACCGTAATTCCTTCGCTAGAGTAAGTGGATTGCTGGATTGTTGACTTAGAAGTTTCCAATAAATGTTTAAACATAGAAAAAATGCTATCAAGATTAGACAGTAAAACACAGAAATCCCATTTTCCCCCTCATCTTGTCTTCCTAGCTTTATCACCCATCCCTATTTCCATCCCAGATATAGTTCATTAATTCCAGCTATGTCTTCCCTGCAGGGCCCAACATTACAATTCTAAAAATTAGAGATGTTGTAATCCCCATCTTATTTTGTTTCTCTTACTGTGGACATGAAAGACGTTACGTTTAAAAATTTAGCCTGTTTTATATTGTTTCATGTATTCTATTTTGATGTATTTCATTTACATGTTTTTTCATGGACATTGAATGTTTGTCATATATGTTGGAAACCACCCTCAGGGAGATAGAGCAGTCTATAAGTAATAATAATAATAATAATAATAATAATAATTATTATTATTATTATTATTATTATTATTATTATTATTATTATTATTATATAATTCTGGGTTTGCCTAGTCAACCCTTTTTGCAGAGCAGTAATGAACACCTTTACAATAGAAATTGTAAACAAAAGGCATCAAGTATACAAATGATTTTCAATGACCAAAACTTAAGATACCTTGACATCAGTGATCATTCGTACAGCCTTTTTAAAAGAATGTGTGCCACATCTTGCTATCTGATTTTCAAACTCTATTTATACTTATAGACCTGATACTTCAGAAATACCACAGACGGAAAAGGACCTATTAGTCTTGGATAGAACAAGAGAGAGCCCAATTGTTCAGCTCGTCCATGAAGATGAAGAGGAAACAAGTCCATCAACAGTGACACTGATGCCAAGTGATGAACAAGAAGAAGAAATACCATGGTTTGAATCTGAAACACAGATGTATTGCTATGATCTGGTGACCGTTTGTTGTATTTCTAGCTTTTCAGAATATGTATACAAGTGGTGTTCAGCAATAGCAATGCTTCGTCGCCGCCACAGCAAAATTGACAGCACTTGGGGCAAACATGATTATGCTGCTACTTGGCAAGACCAGCTAGTTCCAACCAAATCACTGGATATTTTGATACATGAGTATGCCCCTGATAAACTAGACACCTTAAATGCAGAGCCGTCTGAAATTGTTACCGATGTCTCAAGCAGTTTGCTGGATAAGGGCATTATTAATCAGACTGAGGGTACTTTTGAACTGGAGCCAAGTCATCCACAGACTGTATCTCAGTCCGTTCTCTTGGATGTTGCAACAGGGGTCAAGTCACTTTCTACCACAGAGGTGTCCTCAGAACCTGGAGAACACAAAATTGCATCTGAAAGCTCAGAGATGCCTTCCCCAGAGGAGATCCCTGCCAAAGAAGATGGAGTTGTAGGGTCTGTTACAGAAAAGCCATCTGCAACCACTACTGCAACTGAATTTCAAGAAATGAGCATAGAAGAAAAAACCTCTGCTGAAATTATTTCAAAATTAACTGAGACCGTTCCACGTCCGGAATGTACAGTTGCCACAGAAAACTACAATGTGGAAACAAAAGATAGTTCTTCCGAAATGGAAAAGCAAGAGGTACCTCTTGTAGAGTCGCCTTCTTTGGAAATTAGAGATGATGAGCAGGCAGTGGAGGAAACTTTCCTTTCGATTCCCGTTTCTGGTTTGCCACGAACTGCTACAGACTTTTACGCGGAACTGCAGAATTCCACAGACTCGGTTTACGGGAACGGAAATCTTATTCATGGATCAAACCAAAAAGAGTCAGTTTTTATGAGACTGAACAACCGTATTAAAGCCCTGGAAGTAAATATGTCTCTCAGCAGTCGTTACTTAGAAGAACTCAGTCAAAGGTATGCTATCGTTATTTTCAGATTCACTTTCAATGTGAGAAAATTATCTGTGCGAGACTGAACGTGTGTGGACTGCATAGTTGGTCCTCCAAATTTGCAGATTTGATAATACGTTCTCTCTCTGAGTCTCTAGGACATTCCTCCAGGGTGTTTCCACTAGAACCTGCAAAAGTGGCGGTCGAGCTGTATATTGTACAAGATTGAAAATGTTTGCAGGTGGTGGAACCTCCAAAGGCTCATAGCAAGTCATAATGCAAGATCTGGGCCATCTGCTAAGGGTGGAGATAAATATCTTCTTACCCCTGGCATGGAGTTGAAAGGAGATGAATAATAGGTTAGACAGGTATAAAAATGCCGATCCTTTTTTGTGGAAGTTGACCATAGAGTTGCTCTAATGCAGGCACTTGGCCCTCCAGTTGTTTGGGGCTCCTACAATTCCTAACAGACCATAAGATGGTTGGGATTTCTGGGAGCTGAAGTCCAAAACACCTGGAGGGCCAAAGTTTACCCATACTTTCCCTAGAGGATTTGCAGATCCTAAGGGAGGTGTTTTCTCAGGTAAAAATATGTGTGATCTTGCACCCCTAACATCCACAAAAGTGCAGGTTCTATTATAGATTCTGAAAAGTGCTAATGAAAATAAGGAATCATTAGTATGTGCAGAGAGGATCAAAGAAGCAGGAATGTCCATAAATGGAAGTCTCTAAAAACTTCAGCAGAATATGTTCAGTGTTGTAGAACCTGAGTTTGTACACTGAAGAAGTTCTTAGAGAAATATGATGATGTGGAAGCTCAGCCTTACTTCAGCAGGCAAGGGTTTGTATGTACTTGGATGTTACTTCACAGTGCAATATTCAGGACAGCAACACGAGAGAGATCAAGACTGCAAGAAGGTCAAGACCTTCCTCTGCCAGCAGGCATTTGGGGAAGAATTAGGAAGCACCATCTTGGGGAGGTTGTATGTTTAAAATGTATTTTAATTGTTTTGTTTTAAGTGTATTTTACCTTAATCCACACTGTTTTATTTCATAGTTTTTTTAATGTTTGTATTGCACTTTTAAAAGTATTACCAAAGTTTGGGATTGCTGAGTCCCCATGGGGGGAAAGACAAGATACAAATAAAGTAAACAATAATGACAATAATGACGGTCAGAAAAAAAAATGAGATCATGCCTCGGGAAAATGTCCTTTTTTTCTCAGGGTAGCATTAAAAAGACCAGATTTCTGACCTTTCTTGTCCTTTTTGGGACATTGCAGTGGGGTGGGAAAAGGAGATGGGTGAAGATGAAAAGTTGATGTTCTCTTAAGAATTTGTCTATATTGTTTTGTAGATATCGAAAGCAAATGGAAGAAATGCAGAAGACTTTTAATAAAACTATAATAAAACTCCAGAATACTTCACGCATTGCAGAAAAACAGGTACGTTTACTGGGAATCAAGCTGTGTAGCCAAAATTATGCTGGTCCTAGAACTCCCAGCAGCCTCAGCCACAATCAGTAATGAGGAATTAGGGTGTTTCAGTCTTAAATGATAACAGTTGTCTACCCTGATTATGTGTGTAACTTGGTTTGCCATTATTTCTTTTCCGTTATATTTGTGTTGTAAATGTAATAATTTTCTTGGATTCTATTTTGCGTTTAAGGGAGTTTCTGCTATATAATTGTAATGCAGTGGTTCTCAACCTGGGGTCCCCAGATGTTGTTGGCTTACAACTCCCAGAAATTCCAGCCAGTTCACCAGCTGTTAGGATTTCTGGGAGTTAAAGGCCAAAACACCTGGGGATCCACAGGTTGAGAACCATTGTTGTAATGGTTACTGCTTTCCTCTTCCCACTTAACAGACTTCTTCTTATTCAAAAGATATTAGATTGCATCTTAGTTTATCCAATCTGTTAAATGGGGGATTCCTTTGGTGAGAATGACCATCTTTTACAGCAGTGGTTCTCAACCTGTGGGTCCCAAGATGTTTTGGTCTTCAACTCCCAGAAATCCTAACAGTTGGTAAACTGGCTGGGATTTCTGGGAGTTGTAGACCAAAACACCTGAGGATCCACAAGTTGAGAACAACTGTTCTAGGGTTTGTTATACAGCAGAAAGGGAAAATTATGCATTCTAGACTTCAAGAAAGCTGAGTTCAGTAAACTTAGGGGGAAATGAGTATGATCCCATAGTCAGGAATATTAAAACAGAAAGGAATTCATGATGGAAGGGAGTTTCTGAAAAGCAAGATATGGAGGCAAAGTTTCAAACTGTTCCAGCGAGGAAAAAAATTTGGAAGTGTCTAAAGAAACCAGAATGCATGTTTAAGGAATTTTCAATTGAGCTAAGATTTGAAAGGGACGTGTACAAGAAATGGAAGAACCAGCATGTTGCAATGGTTTGAGTATTTGACTATGATTCTGGAGACCTAGGTTCAGATCACTGAACCACACGGAATGACCTTGAGCGATATCACACACTCTCACGAAAAAGAAAATACATCTTACGAGTTTCACTATGAATGAGAAAGGGTTTTTGTGTTTTGTTTTTCTTTACTGTATCAAGGATTTGAAGCAGACAGAGGCCATCCAGCTTCTACAAGCACAGCTGGCCAACATGACACAACTAGTCTCAAATCTGTCCGCATCTGTGACCGAACTGAAAAGAGAGGTAAACATTTGAACTGTATGTAAACTATGTTTAAGACCATAGAAAATAGATTTGGTAGTATATTTTCTGAACAAAAGTGATAGTTTTGAAAATGCTAACCTTCAAAACTAACTTAAGTCTTCTGTTAAAAATACTACATGATACTGCTGATTATTTTGGACTCTGTTTGTACTCTGTCATTCAACCTTGACAGCCTAACTGATTTCTTGATCATAATATTTTTGAGGAATGATAAAGTATTTAAAGTTATCTTTGATGCCTTGCACTTCAGGGGCCAAATGCTGTCCTTTCAAGAAAGAAATTCCTATCTCTTGCTTGCCAGCTGAATTGTTCTTGTATTATGGGATGTTTAATATTTTGTTGTAAGCTACCCTAATAATTCATTTGAATTGAGTGTTGTACATTGAAATAATATATTTGTTTGCTTACTCTGTCAATAACGCTGTGGTGAGGATTGTGTGTCATGTTGCAACTACTCAGTCACATGTTTGCATAATTTCATATTTCAGTATAAATATCCCTTGTATGTTTTTAGGTTTCGGATCGTCAAAGCTATCTTGTGATTTCTTTGATACTCTGTGCCATCCTGGGTTTGATGCTTTTTCTGCAGCGTTGGAAAAACAAACCAGAATTCAACAATAATTGCTTCTCTAACATTCCCAAAAGTAATTACTATCCCAGTCCAAAAAGGTAACTTTATTTTCTAGTCTTAATTGCTACTTTGTAATTTATGTTCTTTCTTTGAATTTTTCCAAATTTAAGGAAACTTCCTGATTTACAGCCGCTTCTTGAGAACTGATCCATGAGCAATTTAAGAACTTCTCTCTTGGTTTTAGCTAAGGCATAATTGATTTCTCACTTTTAAGAAATTCATACATTTATCCCATGCATTTATCTCATGCATTCTTGAGGACACGTGTGTGTGGGGGAGAGTTGACATTGGGAAGGGACATTCACATAAAAGGCCTGTGAATATAATGCCATTATGAAATGAGTCAGTTAGTCACTGATACATCAACTTACCTGGTCCATTTGGCATATAATTTATACTATTTTCATGAACTTACATAAATACATGACTTATCTCTCGGCCAGTAGTAAAATACTTCGGCACTAGGCACCTGATGGTGTTGGAGACTAAAAACATAGTAATTACAGATTTCTGAGAATGTTTCCTGTATGGAAGGCTTGGTGTTTGTTTTAAGGCATAGAATTCCTAGGGAATGACAATTAGGAGAACATATATTTCTTTATAAATTGTCATCAATTTGAAATGAAACTTTTTTTTCATGCATAGGTGTGTTTCTTCCTATGATGATATGAATTTGAAAAGACGAACTTCATTCCCACTCACTAGATCTCAGTCTTTTCAACTTAACAACAAAGAAGGTAATTCAGTTCCTTTTTTCTAGAGGATTTAATATGTGCTGTCTTTGGGTACAGAGTAGCATAAAGTTGTATCTGGTTCAGAATTGACTTAGGGAAAGTCTGAGCTATTAAATGCATCCGTTACACCAGTAGTTTTCAACCTGTGGGTCCCCAGGTGTTTTGGCCCACAACTCCCAGAAATCCCAGCCAGTTTACCAGCTGTTAGGATTTCTGGAAGTTGAAGGCCAAAACATCTGAGGACCCACAGGTTGAGAACCACTGTGCTACATGGTCAGTAGGGCTGTGAGATTGATTAAAAAATGTTTCAAAACTCATTACAAAATTAGGGGATCCCGGCGTTTAGTTTCTAAAATGTTTCTCAAGTGTTGTTAGTGAAAATTTAGTTACTATAACAAGAGTAACGAAATGTCATTACTTTTTTGTTATAGTAATTGCACAAGTAGGGGAAACTTTAGGGGCTTCTTCCGCCCTCATTTTTACAGCTATTGGGATGAAACTTGCTACAATGGTAGAGCATGTTGACCACTCTTAGCCCATCTAGTTTCAGAATGTTTCACTTATCCACAGATTTTTGGGAAATTTTCAAGTTTTTAGAAACAAACTGTTCCAGTCCTATCTTCTTGAATTTTCTATACAATGACACAAGATAGCAGTGAATCATTCCCCCCAAGTTTCAGAAATATGCATACATCTACTGATTTTGGGGATTTTTAAAAAGTTTTGACAAAAATATTTTTTTAAAACCCACAACAGCTATTTCATTGAACTTCTCTCATATTAACCAATAGAACTTTCATTTAGGGATTTTCTCCCAGCCCAGCACAATATTTACATACTAGAAGCATCAGCCAGTCCTCCTTGCAGATTCAACAATTTATTGGAACTCTGTTTGTCTGCTGCTACAAAGGGACAAATCTTTCCCCTATCCTGCTTGGGGTTTTCTGATGCTGAGCAGAAATCTGGGAAATACAGTCTAGGGCAGGGCCTTTCGAATTCTCTGCCATAGGGATCCTCGCCTTCCCAAACTATATTTCCCAGAATCCTGTCCTTTTTCAGTCTCTTTCCCAGCGAAGTCTGCTTTTTCTCAGCTGCTTCCCTCTCCTAATGGTGAGAGGCCATTAATTTAAAAAGGAAATACAGTCTTTTTGGCTTTGCTTGCTTTTGCTGAAAATGAAACTGACTTTGGGAGGCTTCCGAGATTTATAAAATTCAAACCAAAAAGTATTTGGTAAGTTTTGATTTTGTAGTTTTTGGCGTGGGCCACACCCATATCACAGCATAAGTATAAATTTAACAAATTTGACATGACTTATGACAACTAACAAAAAAATTGCACACCCCTAATGGCCAGACTTTCCAAGGTAGCATGATTTGGGCAACAGACCAGGAACAGAACAGCCTTTCCCCATTCATTCATTCATTCATCATGTACCCCTGACCCATACACCTATTTTCACCAGACGCTATTGCTATATACAGTTGTATTTGATTCTGAAATAAGGGAATCAGATATCAAGTTTACTGCTATTTCAAACTCTTGGTAATAGGTCAAATTGCCTAAATGTATGGATCATTACTAAAAATAAGATAAAGACTCTTCTTGCAACATTACAAACTCTTGTATATTTATTCTTGCAGTAAAGATTCCAACTGATGGAATCCAAGACTAAAATAGTAAACCTTATTTATGTAAAATTTAAAGAGAATAGCACATTTGCTCAGAGTCCTATACTATGGTGTAATCTTTTATTCCTGGTTTGAAAATGTTCTTTCCTGTTTAATTGTGCGGTAGTTACTTTGAAAGTAGTTGTTATACTCATTTTTGTGGCTGCCACAAACTATGTTGAATTGGTTGAGACTCTATGAAATCATTATCGAAAAACTACAGTAAAATGTCCTGCAGGATGTCCCACAAAAAAAAAGTTTTTGCAGTTTAGTAAACTTTTTCCATGTTATTATTATAGAAAATGATATTTATGACCCAGGAACACAAATCATATTGCATAGTGTAATCTATTGTGTGTGTATTCATTCTGTTTCTTTCTTTCAGTGGGCCCAGATGACTTCTATATTGTAGAGCCGTTGAAGTTTTCCCCAGAAAAAAAGGTATGTTGTTTTATAGAAAGTGTACCAAAGACACTCGTAGGTTGTTTTTTATTCCTAAGCTTGCTTGGGCTACGTGTGTATGTCTTAAAATACAGAAAAGTGGTCCAGCTCATTTCTGAGTTTTTAAAGGTAATTTGTACAAGGTGATCAGGACGGGATGACCTTGGAAGCGCCCTAACTTACATCTTTTCTCCCTCTTTTTTTAGAAAAAACGTTGTAAATACAAAAGTGAAAAAATCGAAACGGTCAAGCCTGTAGCTGAGCCAGTGCATCAGGTAGCCAATGGAGAAATCAAAAGCAGGAAACCTTTTACAAATCAGAGAGACTTCTCCAATATTGGCGATGTATATCACTCTTCATACAAAGGTCCCCCATCAGAAGGAAGCTCTGAAACCTCATCCCAGTCGGAAGAGTCCTACTTCTGTGGCATTTCAGCATGCACGGGTTTGTGCAATGGACAGGTGCAAAAGGCAAAAACGGAGAAGAGGGCCATCAAACGAAGACGATCTAAAGCTCCAGAACAGGCGAAACTTATAAAAACTTTAATACAGACTAAGACCGGATCCTTGCCAAGCCTGCATGATATCATCAAAGGAAACAAGGATTTAACTGTGGGAACACTGGGTGTCACAACTGTTTCTGGGCATCTTTAAAACTAATGTAAATCTTCACAATAGGAGTTTTTTTTATTTGTATGACAAATCTGGTGACAGGGAAATCATTTGGTTTATTGGGAAGCATCTAGAGATTACGGGGATTCTTTTAAAAACTAGATAGGATTGTGTCAATAACCACCTTTGGTTAATAAGCTTCAGCGTTTTCAGAGCTGACTTTCTGTATGGACAATTTTGGAATGAGTGAGGATTGTGGGGCAGGGACTCATTTTATAGACCGGGTTTTACAGTTGTTGAAGTCTGAGAAACCCAACTTTGGTGGAACAGGATTGAGGCGTAACTGTTTTCCATTTTGCTGTGGTCCTGTTTCTAGCACCTTCCCATATTTATGTGCCTTTTGTCTATTTATAATACTGTTGGAAAGGAACAGTTTTATTTGTACTTTTTAACTCTTCTGAAATTACAGCACTACCATGCTGTGGAACGATGCATCAGCCTTCAATGAAATTGAGTAATAACTTGGACACTGTGGAAATATTGCTAGATTGACTTTTCCTTTACATCAGGAGTGAGCAATTTATGGCTCTGTTGTTGGTTACAGATCTCGTAATCCCTCACCATTGGCTATGATACAGCTGATGAGAGTTGCAGTATCTGGAGGGCTACATTATCGACCCGTTTTAGATCTTTGTTTTGCAAGCTGATTTTGTGACCATTATTACATACATCTGCTGTAGTACCTACTGTCATATTGATTCCCCTTTGGGTTGTGGCACTGACAAGCTTGCCTTGTGCCAAATTGACTAGATTAACATATATAATCAGCAATATGATTGCATATGCTAATCTGTGCTGCAAAATTGGACATATAAATTGCCCAGTTCTCTAAAACATTCACCATGTAGAAATCCATCTGTTAATTTAATGGCTGACACAATCTATATTCCGTTCTACATTTTGTCCATAATGTTTGCTTTTGTTTTGAATAACACTTGTGCGATGTGTGTGAGAGTGTATGTGTTTATATGAGTTAATGCATAGCTACATCAACATGAGTACATCCGAATGAATGTGATAGGAGGTCCTTTTTAGTTGTTTCGAGGTTACATTGTATGAGTTAACTTATTGAGCACTTTTAGTACCCCGTCTTTGTTTTTTTCCGATGACTTTCCTGAATGTCATAATGTGACTTATTTAAAGTCTTTTGCAACTTTCACGTTTAGTTTGAGTACCTTTTTACAGCAATGCACAGCTAGCTAGTCAAAAGCATGCTGGTTTGTTTGTTTTTAAAGAACATGGATTGAAAAGGGGGCCTAAACCAGAATGGAAATCAGAATGGATATAATATTTGTGTGGATTCTGCAACATTGTGGCACTAGAATTTGTAAAGAACTACAAATTCATAGTGCCAGTAGAAACTGTGAATTTCCAAATAAATCTGAATACTTGTCTTTAACATGCATTATGCGTTTTGTTTTCTACAAGCAATTCTGAAGTCAGCTTTTCCAGTAGATAATTGTGACTCAACTATTGGTTTCAGCCATCCTACGTGTAAATTTGCTTCACTTATCCATTCTAGTGTGCCACATCTTCTACAATTATCTTCTATTATAAAATATGACACAGACTGCGGAGGGAGTTATAAGGCGGTCTATATCTTGTTGCACAGCCATTCCCAAAATTTTGAACTTTATTTTGCTGCTTTTTAACTATTGCAGATAATACATTTAATAAGAGACAACACTAAAGAATAGGCTTGTTTAGAAACCTAAGACGAAAACAATCACAGAAACTTACAGTTTTCCAAGATTACTTCCAAGGCATTTAGTAAAATCGAACCCCCTTTTCTCCATATATCTCCTCTCACCTGGAAAACATGGAAGTATCTGATGCCGCCAGAACCCTCTTCCATTCGACCAGCTATTCTTTATAAATTAGGACAATTTCTCCCAATGTAAATCCTGGAGAAATAATGAGCTATATACATGGCGCAAAACCTTTTTCTAAAAGTAAACCTACAACAAAAGAGGAATTTCTCACCAAACTTTCTACTTTCCAACCCAACTGTATCCAGATTTCATCATCTCCCATCTTACCAGATCAGGGTAAATACCACGTTCATTAACAATATTTTACACTTATGTCTCCCAAACACATAATAGTCCAAAGCTACCTCAACCAAACTATATGCATGGTTGAAGAGTCCCTATGGATCGCTGCTTTCCCACAAGAGGTGCTGGGAACTGGATCTGAATGTGGAAACCCCAGTCTTTGCATGGCAGAAAATATTGTAATTTCTTCTTTAAAATTAAGGTCAAGTCTCAAAAGAGAGTTTTCTAAATGTAATCTGCAAATGGCATCTCACTCCGATCTAGATAGAAAGAATCACAGAATACTCGTCTGCTAAATGTTTGCCAGATGTGACACACAAGGCACTTAGATCCATATAGGGTTTTTCTGTATGAAGATGTGGATGAAAATAATTTCTATTATTGCAGACATCACTAAATAAGCAATTATAATTTGCCTTGCTCTTCTATTATCAATATTTCTGGGTAGGAATTAAATCTTGCAACAGAAATACTGATACGCTTTCTGACTGCAGCCACCAGGGTAGAAATGGCAAAATAAATAAATTGGAAAACAGTCGCTAGATGACTGGTGGTTCAGGGTATTGGGTGCTTTACTAGAGGAAACATTATCAGACTATTCACAAGCTTCACACCAGCCCGTAAAACAAAATTTGGAATACTTCGCTGAAAAATAGCTTCCCACCGTAGAATACATGAATTGGACACCGAGAACTAGTACCATTGGCCGACCACTTCAATCTCTGGAAAGATGTCATATCTGATTCTTCTTGATTAAATGTTTTGCTAAACATATTTAATGACTGCTTTGTATTATTTTCATTACTCTATAGATGGCTCCCCCCCCCCCCCAATATTAACCTTGATCTTGCTTTGGTGCTACCCTTTCACAAAGAGAAAATATGAGAGGGCCTTCTTGCTGGTGGCTCTCAGTCTATTAACTTTCTACCTCTCCTATTTCATTACTGCAAAAGGAGTGCTGTATGTTTTTCTCTCTCCTATAATCCATTATGTTTTAATTGCTTTCAAAGTGTTTCAAAGTCACTGCTCTCATAATTTGCCTTAATCTGTTCTAATCCATATTGTAAATTGCTTTAAGCCTCTCCTGGGGAGAAAGGAAGGATATAGAATCATAGAGTTGGAAGACACCTTGTGGGCCATCCAGTCCAACCCCCTGTGAAGAAGCAGGAAAATCACATTCCAAGGACCCCTGACAGATGGCCATCCAGCCTCTGTTTAAAAGCCTCCAAAGAAGGAGCCTCCACCACACTTGGGGGCAGAGAGTTCCACTGCTGAACGGCTCTCACAGTCAGGAAGTTCTTCCTAATATTCAGATGGAATCTCCTTTCATGTAGTTTGAAGCCATTGTTCCGTGTCCTAGTCTCCAGAAAACAAGCTTACTCCCTCCTCCCTATGACTTTTAGTTGCTCTCCTCTGGAAACATTCCAGCTTGTCAACATCTCCCTTCAATTGTGGTGCCCAGAATCGGACACAGTATTCCAGGTGTGGTCTGACCAAGGCAAAACAGCATGACTTCCCTGAATCTAGACACTATACTCCTATTGATGCAGGATATTAATCCCATTGGCTTTTTTGCCGTTGCAAAACACATTGTTGGCTCATGTTTAAATATAAATATAAATAAATAAATAGTGGAGATGGGGTGACCTTTTATCTCCAATAATGGAAGAAATTAATGCATACGTATGAGTGGTCAAATGGTTTTACTTAGACTGAATATGAAATTAATTCCTTCAACTTAGTTAACCTTGTTAACATTATATATGGGTTGTGAACGCCCATGGCCTGTATTTCCATGAGTGGCACTCAGGCTATTCCTTCCTTCAATAGAGAGAAATGGAAGGATGTTGGCCTGCATAGGTTTGAGACGGAATGAGACAACAGGGAAGCTGCTGTGAAGGACACAAGAAACAAATCGGAGAGACAGGAGGACCCAAAGGAGATAGGGTGAGTAGGCAGAGAGGAAGGAATGGGGAGCTGTCGTTACCAACCCAAATTTCCTGACTTTTTTTTAATCTACTGAGAAAGATTTTCCCTGTTTATTATACAATACAAATGCATTTTGGCTGTAGACAGAAGATACAGATCAGAATGGTATGGAATAATTTAATCAGCACAAATGCTCCAACTTGAGGAACTCTTGAAGCATAACAGCGAGACCACAAACTTGTAGGCAGAAGAAGCTCACTGTTTCCAGATCAGGGGACACCAACTAGGTGTTGATGACATGTTCACTGGTGGGTGTAATTTTGTCTTATTGTGAAGATGTATTCGTGCTGCATTAGGTCTGAGAGATACTGATTTTAATTAGAGAGGGAAATGGTTTGAAAGGTGTTGCTTATCTTCCTTCTGCCTCAGCTAGAACAGACTTAGTAAATGCTCATCTCATTGCAAAACCTAGCTCAACCAAATGTGATAGATTAATGGTGTGAACCTCATGATAAATGGGGCCATGGTGATGCAGCAGGTCAAACCGCTAAGCTGCAGAACTTGCTGACTGGAAGGCACAGTGTTTGAATCTGTGGGATGAGGTGAGCTCCCGTTGTTAGCCCCAGCTTTTGCCAATCTAGCAGTTCGAAAACATGCAAATGTGAGTGGATCAATAGGTACTGCTTTGGCAGGAAGATAACGGCACTCCATGCGGTCATGCCAGCCACATGACCTAGGAGGTGTCTACGGACAACGCCGGCTCTTCGGCTTAGAAATGGAGATGAGCACCCCCCCCCCCCCAGAACTGGACTTAATGTCAAAAAGAAACCTTTACCTTTACTACATCATTATAAACTTGTTTTCCCCCAACCACCTTCAACTCTTAAAGCTATTTCTATCTTTAGTAAATGATTAGATGAGTAAAGGGTGATTATATCATGCAATTTTGAGGTCTCACTTATTTCCAACTGAAAGGGGCTAGGTGACTAGGCAGGTTCCTTAAGGAGAGCATTGTCACTACAAAATGCACCACCATTATCCTCGTTTAACCCCGTGATGGAGTAGGAACCAGAATTCAAGCAGCCCTGTGGGTTTCCTGGGGAAGGAGGATTTCACTGCAAGGTTCACTCAGAGTTCATGCAGAAGAATAACATTAAAAAGAATAAAAAGGCAGGGACCCTAAAAACTCAACAGATTTTAAAACACCACCACTCTGTTTCAGGGACCACAATAGTGTTATGGTTGAGTGTTGTGCTGGCACTTGGAGACCAGGTTTCAAATTCTTGACAGGCTTTAAATACTTTAGGCCAGTGGTTCTCAATCTGTGGGTCCCCAGGTGTTTTGGCCTACAACTCTCAGAAATCCCAGCCAGTTTACCAGCTGTTAGGATTTCTGGGAGTTGAAGGCCAAAACATCTGGGGATCCACTGGTTGAGATCCACTACTTTAAGCTGATCACACTCTTCACAATTATTATGGGAGGGCAGAGTCCTCCCATAATAACTAAATATTAGGGCTGTGCAAAAACCTGGACGTGGGGTGTAAGCTGTAAGAGTTTCATTAAATCCGTACTTATGACCTTCCTTACGAAGACAGCGCAGTGTTGCCATCCCATACAAATGAGTGAAAATGTCGAGTTTTGTAAGAAGTGTGCGACTCTTGTAAGTCCCAGTGAGTCAGCCAATGCAAGCAAATCCCAAGAACCATGAGGGCTTGGTCACCATTGTGAATGTGAAGTAGAAGGGAGGGTATCCGGCAGGTAGGCAACAGCAAACAAATACCTTAATTTGAATGTTCAGTAAGGCTTTTGTTGCAAGACATTGCTTTTAAGATTGACACAGCCAGGCTTAGGATTCTTTTAGGTTCATATTCTTTACGTGTGTGTGTGTGTGGGGGGGGGGGGGGCCATCTAGGATTCATTTTGGGGATTTTCCTTTTTTATTGTTCTATTTTATTTAATTGGTTTATATTTGTCAAGCTTTTATTCAAAAAATTTAAAATRATTGGATGAGTGGATCTTTTGAAAGATGGCAGGAATGATGCCTTGCTCCTCTTCTGTCACTAAGYGGAAATTCCACAGGGTACCTCTTTTTGTGTTTTTTTTATTGGGCAATTTTTAAAAAAATCCCTAAAAACAGTGGATATGTGCATCTTTCTGAAACTTGGGGGGAAGTCTTCCCTAGTTATGTTGTGTCATTGTAGAAAAAATTGAAGGGATAAGTATTGTAGTTTTTAAAAATAAAATGCTGTTTGTAAAAACTTGAAAAATATCCTAAAAATCAGTGAATGACCAAAACATTCTGTAACTTGGGGGGCTTAGAATCGTAAATGTGTGCTACAATTTGTCGCACCTCAGAGTAGAACCACCTTGTTTATGACACCAAAGAACACACCAGTTTTAGTTTTAGTAAAAGAAAAGATAAAAAGTTCAAAAAGCAAAAGTATATTTCAGAAGATCAATCCAAGGCAACATAGGCAAACAAGATCCATGAAGGCATAGGCAAGGCAAAGTCCCATGAGAACATGACAAAGTCCTGAAACATGAGCATGAGAAGCTGCAAGATAAATCCAAAGTCTTTTGGTTGAAGCGGGAAGTTGCTCTGACACTGAGGCACATTCAAACAGGCTGTTTAATACTCTTGGGCCAACATAAAGGCGTTCCTATGGCCTCGGGCCTCTCTCTCTCGTCTCCTGGCAATCCTGACACTCCTTTGCACTTTCAATTCCAAGCGATCCGCTAGATATAAACCACCGGCCCCATCAAGGTCAAATCCCTCGTTAGCTGGCTAAAACTATCTTCCCTTCTTGCATCCTCCCTTTCTTCATCAGGCACCTGGCTCTTACTCTCAGTAATTTCACTTTCCCCAGCGTCAATCCTTGCTGCGGGAAACAACTGAACTCCTGCCCCCTGGCCCTGGTCTTCCTCGTCTAACACAGGAACATACTTGCTTTGCATCTGACTGTGAATCTGAATCTCATCATCCCCAGAATCATTGATACCATCACTCTGTGATTCCAGCTGAGTCACAACACAATTGTAGCAAGTTTCATCCCAATAACCCTAAAACTGAGGAAGGGAGGAGCCTCATTAATGTCCTCGATGGCGCGAATGGGCAAATAACGTAACGAAAAACTAACAAAACTCTGTAATTGATCCAACACGGACCACTTACAACTTTTTCGGAAACACTTTAGAATTAAAACGGGTCACACAAATTTCGTTAAGACAAACAAAGCAGGTTTTTTTTTTAAGCCATGCACATCCCTATGAGATATGCAACGACTGAGAAAGAATTGGTTCATAAAACAGAAGAAAATGAAAGCAAGATTCAATATGAGGATAGCAGCAAGATCAAACTACTAGGGCACATTCTGACACTATCATATTCTGTAGACAGATAGGCATATTCTGTTGACAGATGTTTTTCTTGAGTGGGAAGAGAGAGAGTCTTAGATCTTAATTTTAGGGTCTTCCCCAATGCATTCATAGCTTTACGGCATGGGTCTCCACATGTGTGCAACTTGTTTTGCACGCTAGTTGTGGAGCTCACTCACAGTACTTGCTCTCTGCAAGCACAGCTCAATCATTTTGCATCAGAGCAGTGGGTGGAAACTCTGAGGTTTTTTGTGTCAAGCCAAAGGCTTTTCAGTGCAGTGGGTGCAGGTGCTGTGTGGGGTGCAGCACAGGAAGACGGGCATTCTCTGATGCAGCATCTGAGCTTATCCCACCAGGAGAGAGTAGCATCCAGAAACAAGCCCCTCTAATTTAAAAGTCTTCCTGCCATGCAACAGGACCAGCAATGCATGTATCCTCAGGTTTTCTGGACAAGCAGCAGTGCAGTTTCTAGTTCGGATTATGCCCCATCGGGACTGTTCCTCAATGGGATTCTGCCTCGCCAGGACATTTTCCCTTCGGCCTCTGTGCCAGAGAAGAAAAGGCATAGGCAGAACACCAGAGATGGTACATGCCTCTGTCTTCTGGTAATGTTTCTAATGACTCTTCTGGCCCTCAGTGGAGTTGGGTTGGCAATATTTCAAATCTCCCACCTGCAACAGGAACTAAAAACACTGAAAGAGGTAACTTATCTATTTAGTAAAAGCAAAGGAAGCCAGGAGGTAGTGCCTGGAATGCTTCCTTGGAGAAGTAAAGGCTGGCATCCAGTATTACTGAGGTCTGCCTGGATTTGTGTCTTGTGAGCACCATGGTTCTAATTTAAAGTGGCATGGGGGTGTTTTTGTTACCCCTTCTGAATGTCTGTCTCTTGCCTTGGCAGCTTCCCATCTCTGGAGAGGTGCTTCAGTCTTCCAAAAGAGTAAAAGGTAAGACCTTGTTCTGGACTGTGAGAGATGACAGCAGTTCAAAAAATATCCTATGATGGTGACAATGTGCCTGAGCTCCTTCCCATGTATTTGCACCACGTTTTTTTTTTGCCCAGAGTACTAAGTATATTTCCTGGGCATGTTGGTCTTCATTCTGAAATATTGTACCATTTTCAGTATCTGGCTACAGCCCATTGTGTGAAAGGGAGTGCTTGACCACATATTTTTTGTCTTGAGTTTTGCTGTATGGCACATAATGGTTTTTTTATATGTATTTTAATTTTAAAATGGGAAACAACCAAAGAGTCTCCTCATTGACAGGGCAGACTACTAGTTTTCAGAGAGGTACGTCACAAGAAAGAAATGTTTCATGTTCCAACCAGCTAAGCTGGCTTAAATGCCTTCTGTAAGGACATCTGCACTATATTTGGTAGATCGCTTTTGTGTATAACAGGGTTGCTTCCTGATTTCATCAAATCTGCTATTCAATATGTTGTTTTCTCTATGTTCACTTGTAAAATATGTAATTGTTGGTGGATGTGAACAGAACCACCACCAGCTGATGTTAACATAAGTAGGCAATTGCCCAAAATTTGTGGTATGTGTTCCGTGGTAATTCAAGGATGGTTGTGAGGAACACGGTGGCTGGAATCCTCTTGGTGGCACTTGTATTTCGCAAGTTATGCCCTTTCTCAGGGCTTATCCAAATGGTTAATTATTATTCAGGAGTTAAAGTCAGTGCTTTAGCAGCATTTAATTATTTAAGCATTAGAATTCTCACTGGAAAAATCATAGTTGACCTGGCAAAGATCCCCGCTGTGTTCCTGTATATCAGTGATTCCCAACCTTTGGGCCTCCTGGTGTTTTTGGACTTCGGCTCCCACAGTTCCTAACAGCTGATAAGCTGGCTGGGATTTCTGGGAGTTGAAGTCCAAAACACCTGGAGGCCCAAAAGTTGGAAACCATTGCTGTACATGGATGCATACACTACATCCAGCTTCAGGAACATGTTTCCTAGTTGCCTGCATCTTCTCCTGGCCATTGAATGGATGCAAGGGAACACCCAACCACATAAATGATAATGGGAGAGCAAAGACAAAGGTAAGGAAGCAGTTACATCTGAAAACAGTGTTATCTGGGATCTCTTCCAGCATCTAACAGTAGTTCCCAACCTTTTAACCTCCAGGTGTTTTGGACTTTAACTCCCAGAAGTCCCAGCTAGCGTATCAGCTCTTAGGAATTGTAGCGCTGAAGTCCAAAACATCTGGAGGTCCAAAGGTTGGGAACCAGTGATTAGAAAAACACATTGTAAAGATTCTCCTGTGTCACTTTAAAGATATAGATTTCACTGCTCCACTTCATTGGCTGCATACTATATATAATATATAATACGGCTGGGAAGGATTGAAGACACTCAACACATAACTTAGAGGGTTAGTACTGTTTAGCTATAATGTTATATTCATATCTGTTTCCTCTGATCAGTCTTGCCAATTAATTTATCTTTTGTCTCAGATAAAGTTTTGCTTAACACCAAAAGGCTGGACTGCATCTGTGAAGAACAAATATGATTCACATTTAGTTTTCTGTTTCGTTTATCACCCTGAACTATAGCAGCTAGTATCACACAATATAGTCTTAAATTACTTTTTTTCCTCTCTACTACAATATAGTTTTGAATGGAACAGCAGACCTGAAATTCAAGAGCAGAGCACACTTAACAGGTGGGTAGAAAAATAATAATTCTGCAGACAAAAGTGCTGGCTAGACTGATGTTTTAAATCAGTGGTTCTCAACCTGGGGTCCTCAGATGTTTTTGGCCTTCAACTCCCAGAAATCCTAACAGCTGGTAAACTGGCTGCGATTTCTGAGAGTTGTAGGCCAAAAACATTCGGGGACCCCAGGTTGAGAACCACTGTTTTAAATGGTTGGAGAGGGCCCTTCTGGTCTCCTCCTTCATTTTGTGATTCTCACTATTGTGCTGAATGAGGAAAATACTGCAAGGTCCCATTTATTCAGGATGCAGAACATGGGGCTGCTATTTCTCATTCCATTCAGAAAGTCTGTTTGGCAGTTATTCCTCCCCATGCACATCAGGAAAAGTGAGGAGATGCATGGATTTGCAAATGGACCAGAATCCATGTGGGTCTTGCAGATCTGAGACCCACTCCAGATCTAACAAAACTTTAGCTTGACCCACACCGACTATCCAAACGTAGATTTTTCAAAGAGCAATTTGAAGGCTGATCAGAATTTGGAATTAGGTATATGTTCTATAATTCCCAGAATTGCCACCAGAATGGCTGGTGGCTGTGGGATTATTATTATTATTATTAACTTTATTTATACCCCGCTAACATCTCCCAAAGGACTCAGTGCGGCATACAAAAGGCCAAGGCCCTCAATAAAACAACAGCATAACAAATACAACAATAAAACTCATAAAGCAAAACAATAAACATTAAAGCAATAACAATAAACATTAGAACAATAACACCATGATGCATTTAAAACTAAAGGCCAGGCCAAATGTAATGAATAAAATTTTAAAAGTGCTGGACATGACAGGTGAAATGTATAGGTTTTTAGAGGTAGGTGTGGTGTGCAGACAATCTTAAATCTCTAATAAAGTGCATTTGGGACATGATGCTAGGAGTTTCCTATTCTGGAAAGGCACACTGGAACAGCCACGTCTTCAAGCTCTTCCTAAAGACTGCCAACGTTGGGGCTTGTCTGATGTCCTTGGGGAGAGAGTTCCAGAGTCAGGTAGCTACCACAGAGAAGGCCCTGTCCCTCGTCCCCACCAAACGCGCTTGCGACGCAGGTGGGATCGTGAGCAGGGCCTCTCCAGATGATTGGAGAGATCGTGTGGGTTCATATACGGAGATGCGGTCACGCAGGTARGCGGGTCCCAAACCGTTTAGGGCTTTGTAGGTAAGCACCTGCACCTTGAATTGGGACCGGAAAATGAACGGCAGCCAGTGGAGCTCCTTAAACAGGAGGGTTGACCTCTCTCTGTAAGGAGCACCAGTTAACAACCTGGCCGCTGCCCGTTGGACCAGTTGGATTTCCGGGCCATTTTCAAGGGCAGCCCRACGTAGAGCGCATTGCAATAGTCCAATCTGGAGGTGACCAAGGCATGGARCACCCCGGTCAGATCAGCCTTCACGAGGTATGGCCGCAGTTGGTGCACGAGTCTCAATTGTGCAAAAGCCCTCCCGGCCACCGCCGATGCCTGAGCCTCAAGCGTAACTGATGAGTCCAAGAGGACACCCAAACTGCGGACCTGTGACTTCAGGGGGAGTGTAACCCCGTCCAGCACAGGTTGCTACCCTATACCCCGATCCGGTTTACGATCGACCAGAAGGACCTCTGTCTTGTTTGGATTAATCTTCAGCTTGTTCATCCTCATCCAGACAGCCACAGCGGCCAGGCACTCGTCCAGCACCCGAGGGGCTTCTTTGGAGTTAGGTGGAAAAGAGTAGTAGAGTTGTGTGTCATCTGCATAGAGATGGATTCTAGGGGTTGTAGTCACTTTGAATTATTTTTCCAAGCTTTGCATTATTTTATTGATTTATTTCAAACATTTGTACCCTGTCTTTCTCAACGCCCCTGAAAGAGGGGGGGGGCACACTCAAGGCAGCTTACAATCGACAACAATTTGATGGTTTGTTTATTTATTTATTTGGAGTGCTTCTACCCTGCCCTTCTCAACCCCCTAGGGGGGACTCAGGGCAGCTTACAAAAGGCACAATTCGATGGTTGTTGTAGATTAGATATCAGTAACTAAATTGGAAAGTTCAGGGCATCTTGCAACTGGGTGAAATGTTCTCCTTTTTGCTATCTTTTTTAACAATGTCATTTAATGTTTCTAGGCAAAGCTAACCAGGATTCCCTTCCACTGGAGTGGGAAATAACCTATGGGCATGCATTTATCTCTGGAGTCCGCTATGAAAACAGAGGGCTAATGATAGCTGAAGCTGGTGTTTACTTTGTGTACTCCAAAGTGTTCTTCCGGGGCCAAGCCTGCACCACCAAGCCTCTTTACCATGTCGTGTTTAAGAGAAACCCATCTTATCCTGGCACACAGCTGTTGATGGAAGACAGAAAGATGAGCTACTGTTTAGCAACACGCATGTGGGGCAAAAGTAGCTACCTAGGTGCCCTGTTCAACCTCTCCCGGCAGGACAGCTTGCATGTTAATGTCTCTGATGTTCTGCTGGTCAATTCTGAAGAATCAAAAACTTTCTTTGGCTTATATATGATTTAGAAAAACAAATATTTATCAATGTGAGAAACGTGAAGGACATGAGTACTATGCAAGACAGCTGACCTTGGAAAGTTATACATCACATGTGTTACTTCTGTGGCAGCCATCCGTTTATAATTTACTGAGATAATAAAAGCAGGTTCCCAAAGATTTTACAATGAATACCCGTACTGCCTTTGCTGATAACACCACGCCCAACTACAGAAAACCTTAACTTTTGTGAAGGAGCATCAATAGCAATTAAGCTGAAAACATACCAATTAAAAAAGGGAATTTCAAAAAGCTTTTAAAGGAAAGTGGTTCAACAGCAAGTCTCCCTGGAATGGAGTTTTTAAGTCATTACTTAATTACACATGCAAGTTCAATAGATCTAGGAATAGGGATAGATAATACTGTGCATTACAGTTTTTGTTAATATGGATATATTGTGCACACAAAAACGAGGTGTGTGTGAATCTGTTCTGTTTTTGTGTGTGTCCTCGTGTTATCCCGTTCTGTTTTCGGGAAGATTCCAGAAGATTAGGAGCAGATGGTTTGGATTTGTAATTCAGAACGGCGAGTTATATTTCCGTTTTGGGAAGAAACTTCCTAAAAACAGAGCAAGGGGATGGGGCACCCGAAATTCGAAACTAAAACAGAATGAAAAAAAGAATGGATTCTATACCGTTTCTCACACCCCTACAAAAAACTATCCGGTCTTTTTAAATTATTATTTCAGACCTTCCTAAATTCAATACAAAAATGCGAAAGTGTGCCTGTGTAAAAGAATATCTTTGTGTGTTCATGTATTGTGTGTTTGTATGTTTTAAGGTGGTAACTGCTGGTGTTTGTGTGTTTTAAGGTGGTAACTGCTTGTGAAAGTCGGAAGACGATTTGGAATTGGGAAGGCTCTAGTAAATGACTGGAATTGTGGGGTTAAAAGTGAAAGGACAAATTAATATTATATGGGTGTCTGATCACACCCAATTTGTGATGGGTATCTGTGATACTTTCTCCAGAATAAAAACTTACACGAGCTTAAAATGATGAAAGATCTCCAGTAAAACATGTCAATGAGAACCGAAGCTATTGATAAAGATTCGGTGTATATATTCTGAAATTGAAGAAGAAAGGTTGATGTGGTCTATCTAAAGAATACCTTTGTGAGGCTGACATATTAACTGAGGACTATTTAAATTATGGCCCATGAGGTTCTGCACACTCCAACTGGCAGTAACCAACATTGTGCTTGTTTAAAGTAATGTATGTCATTTCTTTGAAAAGTATCAGAGATCGGCCACTTTGTGACCACAACATGACATTTCTCTTGCTGTGCTCTCGCTTGGGAGCGGAAAATATAGGTTTGGTTTTCTCAGAAGACAAGCTTCTTGGTCAATCTTCAGTCGCAGAACTCTATTTCAAAATGCTGCAAAACCATGAAGAATTGTTGCCCTGTTATATGAACTAGGAAACAGGGATCGATGTGGAAAATTTGTGCTTTCTTCACAGAAATCAAGAGTGCCTTCTCTTGCAATCCAGAACAGATTTAGGACCCTTCTACACTGCCATACAATCCAGATTATCAAAGCAGATAATCCACATTCTCTGCTTTGAACTGGATTATATGAGCCTGCACTGCCATATAATACAGTTCAAATCAGATAATCTAGATTTTATATGGCAGTATAAAAGGGCCCTCGAAATAACTTTGAGAGCTGAATTCTGGTCTTAACCCTGGCCAAAATCTCTGAACTTGGAAGATTATGTACATTAAACATTCAAGCTTGTCGGTTTATTAATATGTAAACTTTGGTGGTGGTGTGGTGAACATCATCTAATCTCAGTTCAACCATTTAATGCTTTTTTCATAGGGGAAATACCACTATGACTGAAAACTCCTAACGTGCTTTCTGATGTGGCATCTTTTGATGTATAAAATTGCATAATTTTAGCGTTAATGTGTTGCACATACTCAAGTCATACATCTATTGCTCTTTGTTTTACAAATTATATCTCATTCCAAGGAGAAAATGGGCACAGTGAATAGCATTGTGGACTAAAAACTCTGATCTGGTATCAACAACCTTTGTTTTCTTAGTTGCTTCATCACGCTGCCTTATAATGCCCTGAAAACCAGACTTGAAGACAAAATTTCATACACTCACTTGTCACCTAAGGGAATTGTTTTTTAGCAATAAATTGCTGGCATGGAGGCATGAGCAGGATCCCCAACATGGAGTGCACTCTCCTTGACATGCAGTGTATGTTGTCAAATTTTCAAAAATAAATTGCATACCATGGCCGTTTGATCTGGATAGGAAGCTCCAAGGTATGGAAGCAGAGGGGACCACACAGCATGTCTACATCAGGCATGTAGCCGGGGGGGTGGGGGGGTGGGCTTGGGGGCTTCAGCCTTCCCTGAAATTCTCATGGTGGTCTGCGAAAAGGCCTTACTAGTATATTATTTAAACTGTTATGTTTATTCATATCATGATCTGATCACCATGCTCAATCTATCCCATATGCACAGGGATATTGGGGTAACAATACCAAAAGTTTGCTAGGGTAGACCCTCTTTCACTCAGACTCAGCCCCCCCCCCCCCCCCCCCCCCCCCCGAATCAAAATCCTGGCTACGGGCCTGGTCTACATGAAAAGGCATTGCTGCAATGCATTTCCTACATCTTTGTGTTTTAGTTAGCAAGGCTCTCAAGTCCTTGGTAAGAACATAGATGGCACACGGCAAGGCACGTGACACAATACTCTAGAGCAGGCCTGCACAACCTGTGGCCCTCCAGATATTTTGATCAGCTCCCAGAATTCCTGACCATTGGACCAGTGGGCTAGGGCTTCTGGGAGTTGGAGTCCCAAACATCTGGAGGGTCATGAGTTCTGCAGGCCTGCTCTAGTCTGATGGTGAGGAGACACTTTAACTCAACAGCTCTCATTTGATAAAGTAAGCAAGAAATACAAATTCAGGTCCAACCCACTTCCAGACAAGCAAGATACCAAGGACCTGTCTCTTTGCTTATAAAAGACAGATTTACCACAGTAGATTCATCTGCTGCCACTGTGACTAACTGAGCTAAATAATTTATGCCTAAAGTATCATGTTGTAGAAAAAATGTCTCACACCCAGAACAATTACGTCAAGGACTTTGCAGCAGAATAGAAGGGAGCCCTGTGGTTTCTGACATAGGTTTGACACCTATTAATAGGAAATGCCGCATCAAACATATCCTGTTATGCTCAAACAGTGTGGCAAAGAGTTTCTGTTTTCATATGTGGATTCAGCGGATTAGTACAAAAATCATTGTAAGTACAACTAACATGATGAATATGCTCACTTCAGGCACCAAACATACATTTTAGGAAATCAGGTAATGACAGTAGAGTGATATGAATGAAATGCAGACTGGCTGTCTTCAATTTTAACCCAAAGTGAGGAATCTTAGAACCTTAATGTCTCAACTGTCTCAGGCCACCAACACTTGGGATAGAGACAGAAATCTTGATTTATCATTAGCAAAATCTAGGATATCAAATATTATCCATTGCATATCAATTTGGGTTGAGTTTAGGGGTAAGTGTAGGGTTGGGTTTAGGGTTAGGGGTCAATTTAGGGACAGGGTTGGATTTGGGGTTTGGATTAGGATTAGAACTGGGGTTAGGATTAGGTTAAGGCCAGGATAGAGTTTGGGTTACAACTAGGGTTTGTTAACTGGGTTCTATAGAATAAGATATATCGAAAATATTTGTATTTTGATGTTTTGTTCCATATCAACTGAAAGTTGTTTCAGAACTTCCACATCTGGTTCTCCAAACTCTGCCCACACAGGGCTCTGAAAGCTATAGATAAAATGGGTGCGATCCAGTTCTTTGAAGTCATTAAGTATATGCTTGCAAATTGAGCCAGTAAAACTTTCCTGAAGACTGAAAGCTTACATCGCAACAAAGAATCAGGCATGAATTAGATTTACACAGTGTGATAGTTTTGTTTTCAAACTAAAAGAGAAGAAATCTAGAGCCCTTACAAATGAATAGCAGATGGTAAGATAATGTTGAGATTACTAGAGTTAGTATAAGAGTCAGCATTAGAATCAAGGTTAGGATTACATCCATTACTGTTCTGTAGAATGCAGTTCATATGTAACATTGCTTTCTTCAGTCAACGACAGGCAAAAATGTAGAAAGCAATATACTCAAATATAAGCCTAGTTTTTCAGCCCCTTTTTTAGGCTGAAAAAATTCCCCTCAGCTTATACTCAAGTCAAGCTTATTTATGATTTTACTATTACTATTACTATTACTATTATTATTATTATTATTATTATTACATTTGCATTATTTTACTCTGTTATTATTTTTATTACATTTATTATTTTACTCTATTTATTATTAGTATTATTATTTTATTCTTTGTTATTATTACATTTATTATTTTACTTTATTGTTATTGTTACTGCATTTATTATTTTGCTCAGTTATTAACATTATTACATTTCCATTATTTTATTCTATTATTATACTGACACAAAAACGCAGTATGGCACAGCAAACGAGGTATATATGCTGGATTTCATTATTATTATTATTATTATTATTATTATTATTATTATACTCTATTATTATTGGAAGGATATGTAAGCATATTTACACTGAAGAAGATTAGAATAATTATTTAATCTTCTTAAATTACTTAAATTATCTTAAATTATTCAAAAATCAATTTAACTTATTGATGCCTCAATTAATGTAATTTTATTGGTATTTATTTTTATTTTGAAATTTACTAGTAGCAGCTGCATTTCCCACCCTTGGCTTATACTTGAGTCAATAAGTTTTTCCATGTATTTGTGGTAAAATTAGGTGCCTCAGCTTACATTCAGGTCGGCTTATACTCGAGTATATACGGTAAGAAAGTATTTTGTTGGTTTTGATTATAAGCACCCAAAGGAGAGCTGTTGGGTCTTCCTTATGGAACATCTTAGAACAAACCGGTGGGTATCATCACTAATATGATTCTAGCAACTGTCTGAATGGTGCATCAAGTATTGGTCCTAATTGGGGCAAAAGAGATCATCTTTGTCACATCAGCCTCTCAAAGGTGCAGCTTTTGAATCCAAACAGGTAATGGTCAGCTGTTTTTGATCTCAGGAGAAAAGGTTTATTTTAAAAAACTTAAATAAAATACAAAGAAGAAAAAAGAATGGGTAAGAAAGACACGGGCCTGTGGGTGCCAGGAATGCTGGAACAATTAATGACGCAGTTACAATTACTTTTATAGGTAAAATAATGCCAAGATGGCCTTTGAGGAATTTCTGGATTATTTTCTAGCATAATTGGTCAAAAGCGCAAAAGGTGAGTTTGCATCATGAATGCCATCCATATCTTACACTTCCTTTGTGCCTTTTGTTCTTTAA